TGGTTAAAGACAGCGGAGGTGTATTTAGAGGGTAAATTAGTCAGGATGATATCTATGAGGGTGCCCATGTTAACGGATTTAGGAGTGTACCTGGTAGGTTCCATGATAATTTGTGTTAGATTGAGGGCATCTAGTTTAGATTGTAGGACGGCCAGGGGTGTTATGCATATCCCAGTTTAGGTCACCAAGCAATACGAACTCTGAGGATAGATGGGGGGCAATCAATTCACATATGGTGTTCAGGGCACAGCTGGGGGCTGAGGGGGGGTCTGTAGCAAACGGCAACAGTGAGAGACTTATTTCTGGAAAGGTGGATTTTTAGAAGTAGAAGCTCAAACTGTTTGGGCACAGACCTGGATAGTATGATAGCGCTCTGCAGGCTATCTCTACAACTCCACCCCCTTTGGCAGTTCTATCTAGACGGAAAATGTTGTAGTTGGGAATGGACATTTCAGAATCTTTGGTGGCCTTCCTAAGCCAGGATTCAGACACTGCTAGAACATCAGGGTTGGCGGAGTGTGCTAACGCAGTGAATAACTCAAACTTAGGGAGGAGGCTTCTGATGTTAACATGCAAGAAACCAAGGCTTTTGCGGTTACAGAAGTCAACAAATGATAGCGCCTGGGGAGCAGGAGTGATACTTGGGGCTACAGGGCCTGGGTTAGCCTCTACATCACCAGTGGAACAGAGGAGGAGTAGAATAAGGATACGGCTAAAGGCTTTAAGAACTGGTCTTCTAGTGCGTTGGGTACAGAGAAAAAAAGGGGCAGATTTCCGGGCGTTGTAGAATAGATTCAGGGCATTATGTACAGACAAGGATATGGAAGGATATGAGTACAGTGGAGGTAAACCTAAGCGTTGGGTAAAGATGAAAGAGATTGCATCACTGGAGGCACCGATTGACCCGGTCTCCGCGTGTGTGGGGGGTGGGACAAAGGAGCTATCTGAGACAGGTTGAGCAGGACTGGGGGCTCTACATTGAAAAAGTACAGTTAGAACTAACCTAAACAGCAATAGGCAAGGCATATTGACATGGGAGAGAGGCATAAAGTAGTCACAGGTGTTATTCGAGAGAGCTAAGACAACAGCTGGTAATGGCGATAAAATTTGAGCTGAGGCTAAACAGAATGGGGTACCGTATAAAGGAACAGTCCAGCAGGCATCAGCTGTGTAGCTGAGTGATCATAAGGTCCAGTGAACAGCAATAAGTAAGTCCGGGAGCAGTTCAGTGGCTGCTACGCTACAGGCGAGCTGGAGGCACGGCTGTTGATTGCGTGTGCTAGCGGGCCAGGGCTAGCAGATGGATCTTCGTGGTCGTCGCAATGGGAAGCCTGTTGAAACCACATCAGATGATTACGTCGGCAGACCAGTCATGATGGATCGGCGGGGCTCCGTGTCAACACTAGGAGGTCCCGTCTGATTGACAGAGAGGTAGATAGCCGGAAGATGGGCCTGGTTCGAGGCTAGCTCAAGGCTAACTGGAGTTAGCTTCAGGACAGTGGTGATTAGCCAACAACGACAACAGCCATTCGGTTGCAGCTAGTTAGTTGCGATGATCCGGTGTTAAGGTCCAGTGATTCAGTGATTCCGGCAGAAAATCCGATATGCTCTGGCTCGATAGCGCGATGTGCAGACTGTGCAGACTGGCCGATAATTTTCCAGGCTAGAGCTGGCTGGTAGGTAGTGCAGGCCACGGCCACGGACAATGGTGAAGACCGCTAATGGTGGCTAATAGCAAGTAGCTAGTTAGCTGGCTAGCTGGCTAGTTTCAGCCAGAGGTTCTGGATAAAAATGTATGAAGAAATAATAGAATCTGTTCCACATTGGGTGAGGCGGGTTGCAGGAAAGTATATTTAGTTAAAGGATTGAAAGTGAGATTGAGAAATATATACGAAAAATGAAGACAGCTTCTCCATCCTAGAGGGAGAGATCAATCATTTCCAGGCCCTGGACACGTACTAGTCTGTGGTGACCTAAACGCCAGAACTGGACAAGAACCTGACATTCTCATTACACAGGGGGACAAACACCTACCTGGAGGTGACAGCATTCCCTCTCAAATATGCCCCCCTAGACACAACTACGACAAAACAACCAACAAAAATGGGTCACAAGTCTTGCAGCTCTGTTACACGCTGGGTCTGTACATAGTCAATGGTAGGCTTCGAGGGGACTCCTACGGTAGGTACACCTACTGCTCATCCCTTGGCAGTAGTAGTGTAGATTACTTTATCACAAACCTCAACCTAGAGTCTCTCAGAGCGTTCACAGTCAGACCAATGACACCCCTATCAGATCCCATCAAAATCACAGCCTACTTGAACAGAATAATATTCAATCATGAGGCATCAAAGCCAACCAAACTGCATACTATTAAGAAACCCTATAGATGGAAGGAAAGTAGTGTAGAAACCTACCAAAAAACAATTGGGCAACAACAAATCCAATAACATTTAGACAACTTCCTGGACAAAACGTTTCACTGCAATAGTGAAGCTATAAACTTGGCAGTAGAAAGCCTAAACTGTAAATTTGACCTTACAGCTTCCCTATCAAGTCTAAAAGTGTCAAGCAGACAACCTAAGAAAATTAACAACAATGACAAATGGTTTCATGAAGAATGCAAAACCCTAAGAAGAAATTGAGAAACATATCCAACCAAAAGCACAGAGACACAGAAAACCTGAGCCTATGCCTTAAACTAAACCAACAACAAGAAGAGCTACCTATCCTAAATGGAGATGTATGGATAAACCACTTCTCAAATCTTTTCGGCTCTATACCAAAGAACAAACAGCAAAAACATAAGTACATGATCAACTACAAATCTTAGAATCAGCTATTAAAGATGACCAGAACACACTGGATTCTCCAATTACATGGAATGATTTACAGGACAAAATACAAACCCTCCAACCCAAAAAGGCCTGTGGTGTTGATGGTATCCTAAATGAAATTATAAAACATACAGACCACAAATTCCAATTGGCTATACTTAAACTCGTTAACATCATCCTCAGCTCTGGCATCTTCCCCAATATTTGGAACCAAGGACTGATCACCCCAATCCACAAAAGTGGAGACAGATTTTACCCCAATAATTACAGGGAATCTGCGTCAACAGCAATCTCTGAAAAATCCTCTGCAATATCATCAACAGCAGACATGTTCCTCAGTGAAACAATGTCCTGAGCAAATGTTAAATTGGCTTCTTACCAAAATACCGTATGACAGACCACGTATACACCCTGCACACCCTTATTGACAAACAAACAAAACAAAAGCAAAGTCTTCTCATGCTTTGTTGATTTCCAAAAAAGCTTTTGACTCAATTTGGCATGAGACTCTGCTATACAAATGGATAGAAAGCAGTGTTGGAAGAAAAAAATTGGACATTATAAAATCAATGTACACAAACAAGTGTGCAGTTAAAATTGGCAATATACACACAGATTTCTTTCCTCAGGGCCGTGGGGTGAGACAGGGATGCACCTTGAGCCCCACCCTCTTCAGTGTACAAAACATTAGACATTTCCATGACAGACTGACCAGGTGAATCCAGGTGAAAGCTATGATCCCTTATTGATGTCACTTGTTAAATCCACTTCAATCAGTGTAAATGAACGGGAGGAGACAGGTTACAGGAGGATTTTTAAGCCTTGAGACATAGATTGTGTATGTGTGCCATTCAGAGGGTGAATGGGCAAGACAAAAGATTTAAGTGCCTTTGAACGGGGTATGGTAGTAGGTGACAGGCACACCGGTTTGAATGTGTCAAGAACTGCAACGCTGCTGGATATTTCCTGCTCAACAGTTTCCTGTGTGTATCAAGAATGGTCCACCACCCAAAGGACATCCAGCCAACTTGACACAACTGTGGGAAGCATTGGAGTCAACATGGGCCAGCATCCCTGTAGAACGCTTTCGACACCTTGTAGAGTCCATGCCCCAACGAATTGAGGCTGTTCTGAGGGCATAAGTGAGTGCAGCTCAATATTAGGAAGGTGTTCATAAAGTTTTGTACACACAGTGTATTTATCAATGAATTGGCGAGGGCACTAGAACAGTCTGCAGCACCTGGCCTCACCCTACTGGACTCGGTTATCAAATGTATACTGTTTGCAGATGATGTGGTACTTCTGTCCCCAACCAAGGAGGGCCTAAAGCAGCACCTAAATCTTCTGCACAGATTTTGTCAGACTTGAGCCCTGAAAGTGAATCTCAGTAAGACAAAAATAATGGTGCTCCAAAAAAGGTCCAATAGCCAGGACAACAAATACAAATTATATCTAGACACCGTTGCCCTAGAGCACAAAAATACTATACCTACCTCGGCCTAAACATCAACACCGCAGGTAACTTCCACAAGGCTGTGAACAATCTAATAGACAAAGTAAGAAGGGCCTTCTACGCCATCAAAAGGAACATAAACTGTACTGCAGAAATGGAACGTAAATCACAGAAAATAGATGTTGGGGTGGCAGCTGCAGAGAAGTACTTGGGTGTACAAGACTTTGTTGCAGAGGAGTTACAAGGTGTGTTGAACGATAGTGTCCAGTCCTCCCAGGCTGCCAGCCTGGTGTAGGATCAGATAGGGCAAAGTAGTGGAATAGTGGTACGTTTTTAATGGGTGTAGGGTTAGTTTGTAGTGCGATTTTTCTTCCCTTTTGTGTCACAAAGTGTAATGAATTCACACTCCAGAACAGTAGGTGGAAACAAAGGGCTAGATAAGAGCAATAGACGAATAAGGTGGCAGCATGCACTTTAAACGTTAGTTTGCGGACCGCCAAGATATCATAGAAGAAGAAGAAAGATGAATAAGCAGGCGGTGACCAGCCTCACACTCCAGTACAGTAGGTGGCAGTGTATGCATCTTTCAGTTGGCTGCGATCCGCCAATACAAATCTTAAGAAGAATAACTTTTGGGGCATTGCGTGAGCATGCGTGCTTCCCTTCTGCACACACAAGTTCACAACAACACATCCAGGCAGCGAGGTAAAATGGCGTCGGGTGCCATTTCAATGGAGTCAAAGAGAATAACAGATTTACGAGTTATAGATCTCAAATCTGAACTCAAGCGAAGGAATTTAGATGTCGCTGGTGTGAAGAATGTTCTAATTGCCAGACTGAAACAGGTAACGAGCTTAATTTATTTTTACATGGCGAACTCAAAGCTGACGACCGCTAGCTAATGTTAGCTACCAAACAGTTGTGGTACGAATTTGATTGATTGAGGCCGTCCCCAACGGCTGCCAGATAGATAGTTTAGCTACTGGTTTGCTATTCAACTTGTTATGGAATTAATATGTATCTATGTACAGCTTGCTATTTTCGTAGTTGCCAACTAAGACCGTAAGCCTGCTAGCTAACGTTACCGTTGGCTGCTGACTTGTTTTCCAATTGCGGTACTGCGTGCACGCGGCCTGGCTTTGTAGCGTCAGGTTGACAAGGTAGCCCACAATCCTGCATCGATGCAGCCGATGTGGGGGCGTTGCAAGCTAGCTGGCCATGACATCGATCGCATTCAGGATGTACACAGCTAACTCGCTGCTTACATGTCTCCTTTAGAAAACTAGGTTACTTTAGGCCCACGGACATCCCAACGTTAACTAGCTAACTAATTTCGGAAATACCTTGATCAGAGTTAACTAACGTTTATAATTCAAATCAAAAATCTAATTTGATTTGTCACATGCGCCGAATAAAACAGGTGTAGACCTTACCGTGAAATGCTTACTTACAAGGAAGGCCTTAACCAACAATTCAGTTTTAAGAAAAATAAGAGTTAAGAAAATATTTACTAAATAAACTAAAGTATTATTATTTTTTACATATAATTAACTATAATCTGGCTTTACAGGCGACGTTGATATGGCAAATCTCCTTTAAACCCAGGAAGCAGCCATTCAACTTGCAATCACCAGCTTTTCAAGTTAAATGATGTAAAAATACGGTAGTTACTCACGAAATAAGCCGGTATGTAGGTTTCCGCTAGATAGCACAAGCCACAAAATGGTATATATCATAAACATTAATGAAAACAAAAATGATATTTTTGGTCTTAATTTAGAGCAGTGGAGGTTCCTCAAAGGAGGAAGGGGAGGGCCATCCAAAGTGAATTTCATAAAAATAGTGAAACATTAGTTATCATTTTAAAGTAAAACTATACTAAATATATTCACATGTCACCAAATAATTGATTAAAACACATTGTTTTGGAATGGTCTACAGTAGCTTCAACAGCACTCTGTAGGGTAGCACTATGGTGTTGCCTTTCCGTCCTCATCTGGGTACATTGACTTCAATACAAAACCTAGGAGGCTCATGGTTCTCACCCCCTTCCATAAACCTACACGTCATCCAACTTATCAGAGCTCTTGCAGCATGAAGTGACATGTTGTCCATCCAATCAAAGGATCAGAGAATGAATCTAGTACTGAAAGCATAAGCTACATCTAGCTAGCTTTGCAGTGCATAACATGTGGTGAGAAGTTGACTCAGAGAGAGCGACAACAGTTGAACAGTTTTTAACAAATTAATTTCTTAAAGTTAAGGAGACGGAAGTGCGAGAGCTAGCTAAATTTCGTAGTGTTTTTTTCTCACTTTAACTTAGATAGCGAATGCAGCTAGCTGATTTAGCCTACTCAAACACCCGCACAACAGAGGGATGTTATGTTAGCTAGCTGGCTATGGCTATCCAACACTAGAAAACTTCCAAGCAGGGCATCAAATTGATTTTTTGGTCCACCAAAAAAATCTACCGGCCAAAATATTTTTGCTGCTAAAACAAAACACAAAACAGATGAGCATGCTTTGTAATGTTTCTAAAACAATAAATGTATTACTAGTAAGAAGTAGTGTTATATTGTTTAATTTCATTTTTGAACAAAAATATCACAGATGAGACAAATGTTAAGGGCGGGATGTTACCGTGGTAACGCGACTCGTCATGTTTGTGCCTGTGAGATTGAGTCTGACTAGTAGAAGCGTTGTCTACTCCATCAGTTGAAACTCAAACATAGAAAAACAACCTAGCTTGTGAACGAAACAATGTAAATGGCCAAGAAACACAAGGACAAAGTCCCACTTCAGTAGACTTTCGTTTCAAATAATTTAGACCCATTTTTATGTCTGTGTGCAGCGCTTCTAAAAAAGTAATCTTTCACAGCCCCCAGCCAGGCAGTGATGCAGCGTGAGGTGGAATAGGCTATTTTTGATTCGTAGTTCTTTGACTTTGTGTGATTTAATTTACCAGCTATGAAACTAAACAGCAGAAATGTTTTAAAAACAGCTAATGCAGCATTTATTTTACTTGACTATTTTAATTTTAAAAAATGCGAGTGAAATGCTTGCACTTTGGAGCCCAGACCACCTGCGGGTGTTAATTTTATGTCCTGCTTCCAAGTCAAGGTCAACTTTAGGTTTTATTAATTTATTACCCCCGAGGTCCGCCGAGAAGGAATTATGTGATCATGCTGTTTGTATGTGGCTGTATTCATTCCTCCGATTCTATTGAAGAAAAAAAGTTTCTTGAACAGAAACAAACGAAACATACCTGAATAGAAACTATTGTTTGTAACTGTTGGACTAATGATTACACCCTAGATCAGCTAGATGCAGGCAAGAGCGTGCAAGGGTGTTGAATGTGTCACTGTCTGTCATCTTGATTACTCAATTTTGACTGATCCTGTGCACCTACGTTGAAAACTTTCATTCATAGGTTAGGTTGTAGCAACCTCATGATGGATATAGGGACAATTCAAGTATCATGTAGTAGCCTAAACCTATCGATGTTACATTGAGCTGGGTGAATGGAATATGAATGACCGTCATCAAATATGCTGTAATAGAAATAAGGCCTTGCTCATTTAAAAAATTTTCCTCCCTCACCTTAAACGGCACCGACCACCACTGATTTAGGGTTAGGCATAAGGTTAGCGGTGTGGTTAGGGTTAGCTGCTAGGTTTTAAATACGATTTTAAAGAAGTTAAATTGTAGAAATAGGCGGGGCTTATGACTTTGTGCCTGTGGTAACTAGTGACAACCAGGTATGTAGGCCTAAACAATACCTCTTCGGCAGCTCCAATGTGTTGAGCCGATGTAGACTTCCGACCTGTCCATGGCAGTAAGGTTAGTGCTATCCGGGATCCTTGGGACGTGAGTGATTTACATTGGAGGTAGAGCGGTGTTTGAGACATGGGTGGATCCCGAAGGTGCCCAGGGCCGGGTCTTTTTACAAAAACGTCTGTAGAGTCCGAATGGTTTGAGCTACAAACTATTATCTATAAAAAGGTGAGACTCTCACGAACATGCACATGTAACATGTTTTGCACTATGACGCTCACAAGCTACACGAGTCGTTAAAGGTAAGGGGTACCTACCTAGAATATCATAGTGACATGGTGTAATAATACTGTAATAAGCTCACATAGTTGCTGTCACAAACTCCACACAGTTGTCACTGACTAGTTGGATATTCATTTCCCATTGAGCAAACAATTTCTGTACTTACAGCATTCATATACATTTATTTTAATCAAGTTTATGCTTTGGCGGACCATTTTTTTTGACATTTGTCAGTAAAACTTATGAATGCAACGGTTTTATGTCAATTTGTTTTGTGTTCTACTTGTAGCCCTGGTTGTCCTGAAAATAAAATGGTAAAACACTTCATTGTGAGACTAAATAGGTCTGGACATGCAGCTAAATGAAAGTCAGATAAATGACTAACTACAATCAAGTGATTTATTTATATTTTTTACTTTCTCAGGCCATTGAGGAGGAAGGTGGAGATCCAGAGACCATTGAAATTCCACTCCCAGCAGACACACCTACTAGAAAAAATGCAAATGCAAAAACCAAAGGTAATTTGACATTCCTAATATTTAAATTACTGTTCAATATTTCTGTTTCCAGTTTGGATGATATGACACCATTACTTCTTTAGGAAAGAAAGTGGACTCTGACACTGACAATCCAATGGAAGATGAGTCCTTCTCCAAGGAAGATGAGTCCTTCTCAAAGGAAGAAGAATCTCCTACCAAGGAAGATGAATCTCCTACCAAGGAAGAAGAATCTCCTACCAAGGAAGAAGAATCTCCTACCAAGGCAGAGGACGCTACCACCAAGGAAGAGGAATCTGCTACTAAGAAAGATGAAGCTTTTTCCAAGGTGAGTCACATGAATACGTTTACGTTTGTGTTAGGTTTGTGTATACCCCACTCTCACAGTAGACTAGAGATCATTAGGTTACCATAACATGATCAGATATTGTTTTAAAAATTAAATGTTGGTATTCAGATCGGTTAACCCGGTTTTAGTAAGGCATTAGACTGAAACTATCTTTGTATTTACTTTTCTCGTTGGTCTCTTTTTCAGGAGGGCGACGAGGATGACGTTGAAAAAGGTATGTTTGTGCACACACCCTATTGAATTGATGACTTTTTTTGGGGGGGGGTTTGCAGGTAGCCCCCTTTGTGTGAAGGTAAGAATCTGCTATGTCCCCTCTCTCCTTTATGCCTTCCATTTATTTTGTCTGCTGGCTAGACACTCAGCCAGCCAGCCACCTATTCAGGACTCATAGTTCATGAATACAACATAGAAGGGACATCCTGTTTGTGGAGGACTCTTGCTTCTTTTTGTCACAGTATTTTTTTGAGGGTGGGATGTTACCTACCCTTCCAGGCCTGAGATGCAAGAGGGCTCCATCAACCATACAGACGGCATGGTACATTCCCTCAAGATAAAAAGCTCTGGAATCAACAGGCTTCTTCAAGGTGAGGGAAAGGTATGCACTGAAGATGGAAAGCTGAGTGAGAGGGAGATCCAGTGTGTGCTGAGGAGACCATGGGGGACTTCTGCCCATCGGGGCCCATCCTCCTGTAGCACCCCAACTGCATTACAGATGTCTCAGACGGAGAGAAGAAATCATCACTGACCAACCAGGACATGATGTTCAGACTAGAGGACACATTTGCTAAGGACTTGAGCCAGTCACTACAGTCACAAGGACGATTAAAGATGACATCTATTTTTTTTGTCCAACCATCCCAAGTCACTTAAAGACATTTTTACAAGGGAAAGAAGACATGAGAGAGCCCTGGGCAGTAGAACGGCCATAAAATGAGACTGAATTTGAACTCCATGGCTTTGTGCACAGATGTGTTTTGGTTACGGAAGAAGTTGGACAGATGCTCTTTTCCTTTCATTTGAACAAATGCCCTCTATTCAAACTGAAGAACGGGAATGGAGCTCCAAATGACAGGCGCATTGAAGAGTAACTTCACTGTACAGTACTCATAACTGTAAGGATCGCAAAAGAAGTATTGGTGTTGAAAATGACATGAAGATTATTGAACCGCACAACCATTTTTCCAATGAGGAATGTATGTTTTGTGTGTTCCTGTGGTCTTCAACCCTTCGATGACCACTAATACTAAACTTGCTTTCTATTCTACTTTCTAGGTCAAGTAACAGACATGTCAATGTTAAACATTGTGTTTTTTGCCATGTTTTATCCTTATTAAATCCCTCAGATGTAACTGATACAGATGATGGTACTCGCGAAAATTCTAAACCTCCACCCAGTGAGGACGGCCTCCCAGAGGCCGAGATTGAGGCAGAAGCCGAGGCGGAGGCCGAACAAGTGGAGGAGATCGAAACTGAAGTTGCCGTCTCCGCTAAAGAAGACGAGGACGATAACATATCCGTCACACTCCAGAATGAAGATGCGATCACGCTGGATGTTGATGGCGATGACCTCCTGGAAACAGGTAAACATGTGAAACTTCCAGATTCAGAGGCAGACAAGGGCTGTGACGATCCAGAGGCCTCTGCTAAGACGAGCCCCAAGGATGCCATGAAGATGGAAGTGGAAGGCCATAAAGATGGTAAGAAGGATGACGGGACGAAGGTTGACTCCTCTAAGAAGGAAAGCAGAGAGGCCTCGAAGAAAGCTGAAATGGGAGACAAAGACAAGGATTCTGGGAAGAAAGGCCCCTCGTCTACTGGGGCATCAGGTCAAGGAAAGAGGTTTGTCTTTCTAGCTATGTCAGTTCTTTAAGATACTACTACCAAGTTCCAGCTCACTGTGAACACAGCATTGTGGGTAGCCTCAAGAATTTTTTAATTTTTTTCCCTAATGAGAAATGTTCGTTGATGTACCTAATGAGCCTCCCATTTGTTACTTTCATTTGGTTGTTTTTCTGAAGTTGGGTAATTTGTGTCATTAACCAGGAGCTGAAAACAGATGTTACTTTCACCTTTCCAGCACGTTTGCCTTTTCCAGTTTCCACGTAGGACTTTTTAAAAGGGCAGTTGTCCCTGTGATGTCAGTTTGTCAGAAAATATGAAATGGTTCGCTGTGAAGTCGAACGCAATACTGAAGATTTCATTGGTCCAGGGAGTAAATTGGCTGAGAACATGACCCATATCACCCGTGGAAAAGCAATGAAAAAAGCCATTAAGGGAGTTTTGTCCAAATGCAAGCCTTGCCTGTGGGGATTTTTTTATAAAAATGTTATACATAAAGCAAAAAAAGTTGTTTGACCTGGTGTACGTCATATTCCGCAGGGGCTTTCATATACTGGCACTCATTTCTTGTTTCTTTTTATTTGTTTGCGAAATCTGCTTTGTAGTTCTTCAAAGGACAGAGATGGAAAGGCCACAAAAGATGACAAAGGTAAGCATTTTACAAATGCATTTCTCAAGATGTCACTACTAATGATCAGACAATGATGGTCAAGCATAGCTCTTTATGTAGTGCATATAAGCAATGTGCAGTATTGACTGGACAGCCAAAATGGCATTATTTTCTCAAGCATCAGAAAAAATAGAATTGATCTTGGAATATTAGTACCACTGGTGTAATCTGCGTATCTAAAATGTACATTTCTTTGGCATTTAAAGGTGTCTGAAATGATTTCATTTTGTCAAAAGCACCTGCATTTTAACATGTAATGCTTACCGTTAAGTAACATTAGGCTCTTAGAGATATGTTTGTTACAATGTGTAGACATTTTTTTCATGTAAAAGCCCCTACAGTGCATGCATGTATGTTTTGAAACAACCCTATTTCAGGAAGTATCAGCAGTAGTAGTGCAAGCAGCTCCACTCGAAACATATGGGTGAGCGGCCTGTCCTCCAACACCAAAGCAGCTGATTTGAAGAACCTCTTTGGCAAATATGGGAAGGTAAGCCTAGAGCTTAAAACATCCATAAATTGTTTTGTGGTGGGGTACTGGGGTTTGAATGGTTTGATGTTTCTTACTGTATGGGCGTCATGGTTTTGCTTTGACTTATTGGAAACAATTTACTGGTTTACTACAAGCAGCATGTAGGTGCTCCGCCTCTAAACAAATTCCTGTCTCCACAGGTTTTTAGTGCCAAAGTGGTTACTAATGCTCGCAGTCCTGGAGCCAAATGTTATGGCTTGGTGACAATGTCTTCCAGTGCAGAGGTGGGAAGGTGCATCTCCCACCTGGACCGCACAGAACTCCACAGCCAGCAGATATCTGTTGAAAGGGTAAGCTGACAAAGAAACAGTTGTTTTGCACATTGTTCAGCTAGAATGTTCAGAGCAGGATTACAATTTTACGGTTCAGAATCTTGTCTCTGACGTCTATCTTTTGTGACGTCATAAAACCTCCAGAACTCTTGACGATTCTAAGATTCCATTTTGAGAGTTTTCTGCAGAACAACATTGGCTGACATTCTCCTCTGAACCATTGAGCCAAACATGCGCTCTGTAATTTTCATTGTAGAGAGAAAAAAGGTTCAGGGTCCTTTTTGTTCAATTAATTGAAATTACATTGCTTCAGAATTGTGACGGAGCCTTTAAATACTGTGACGGTGTATTTATGTTGTCTTTTCAGGTTAAAAGTGATCCCTTCAAGAAAGAACCTTCAAAGAAGGAAGCGGATGACAGAACCAGCTCCAGCAAATCATCGAGTGACAAACGTAGTGCGTTTGTGTCGACAAGCAAGACTAGCACTAGCAAGTAAGTGAGGAAGAAAACACAATCTGTCTTTTTCAGAATGGGGAAATTTGAAAGAAATGTTCATTTATGTGCCTGCTCTTTCCCCCCTAAAGAACCCAGCCATCCTCCAAAAAAGAGGAGAAGAAGTCCGACAAGCCATCAGACAAAGACAGCAAGGATTCATCCAAGAAGCAGGAGTCTAAAAGCACAACATCCAGCTCAGGCCCAGATGCCTCCAAGAAAGATGATAAAAAGCATGGAGGAAGTATGAATGCTCCCTCTCTCAGGTTCCTTTTTCTGTATTGTGTTGTAGGGTAGTAAAAATTAAAATCTCTGTCCTGTTGTGTAGGGACCAAGAGTCCTGGCAAGATGGTGGTGATTGATCATGCCAAAGGAGACCTCAACAAAGTGAGACCGCCTTTCAGGAGGGGGAGATTTGACAAGCCGGGTTTCACCAACAACAACATGATGCAGCGGAGACCCAGATATTTCATGCCTCCCGAAGAGGTTTGTTGCAGTTTTTTCTATCCGACAAAGTTTGATCATGGAACTTTCTTTTTTCAATGTTCACGTCTACATGCTTGTCTTTCCTAGATGGAGATGAATAGAGGGAGCGTTTTCCCCAACAAGGGAGGCAGCAAAGACATCCTCCCCTTTGATCAGATCAAAGAGCAGAGGTTGCGTGTGCGTATGGTCCGGCTGGAGCGCGTCCGCAGAACTATGGAGCTTCGCAGGTCAGCCTGAAACACAAACTCGTACTGTAATTGTTGTTCTCTGTAGTACTGTGAGGATGCTGGGTACTAATGTTTCTGTGACTTTCCTGTCCCATCAGGCGGCGTGAGATAGCTGAGCGGGAACGCCGGGAGCGTGAGCGTATCAGTCTGATTCGGGAGCGGGAGGAGAGGGAGAACCTGCTCAGGGAACGCCAGAGGCTGGAGATGGAGAGGCAGAAACTGGAGAGGGAGCGCATGGAGAGGGAAAGGCTGGAGAGAGAAAGGATCCGCATAGAGCAGGTACTTGGGCTGTGCTTGGATTCAAATCATTAAGGATGTTTAGCCAACTAGGCTGTACCTTAGTTTATTGCTGTAAAAACGAAAGGAGGAAGGTGAGTTGTCTACTCATTGTTCGTTCTGGTGATCTTTCAAAAGATCTCAGGAGCATTTTGAGCAGCTAATGGTGAGCAAACCATTTAGTGGATTGATAATGTAATGCCAACGTTATCTCTGTGATGCAGGAGCGGCGTAAAGAGGCAGAGCGTATGGCTCGTGAGCGGGAGGAGCTGAGGAGGCAGCAAGAGCAGCTCCGCTACGAGCAGGAGAAGAGAAACAACCTGAAGAGAGGCCGTGATGTGGACCACAGGTACACAAGGCCACACTGTGGATGGGGATGGGATGTTTGTCTGGGTTTTGCTCTGTGTAGTTGAGGCTCTGATCGTGGACAACCAGCTTCCACCATTATGTCCATGAAGTTGTAGGATAAGTTAGAGCAGCTTGTGCAGTACTGCTTTGTCCGTCCCCCATGCACACAGACTTGTCTCTCATACTATCCTGGTCTGTCTGCATCCCATAGCAGGCAGGAATGCTTGGTCTCAGATATGACCAGCAGATGTCAATTTGACCATCAACTGAAAAGTGAAAGATACATTTTGGTATCATATCTGACCAAGCTCAAAAAGTGGTATTCCATGCCAGTTTCCTTGTTGCCCAGTTAAAACATGTTCTCCATTGAATGTTTCAGCCGGAGGGATGATCCCTACTGGAATGGCAACAAGAAGATTCCAGACTGAGTCTGAGGGCCGTCTCAACCAAGGCTCGGACTACAACCGCCAGCAGAACCGTTTCACTGAGTTCAGCCCCCGAGAGAGAGGCAGAGGCTTCCCCGAGGCTGCAGCCGCGGAGCCCAACACTATTGAGAGGTAGGCCCTCTTTGATAAGCCCTCTTATTTATATAGTGCTTTTTGCAAATACAGCAACCTGGATCTAAACTGGCAAAGGGCAAGCTGCACACAGCCCACATAGCAGTTTAGCAAGTCTATCCCCCCACCCAGTAACAGTCAGCTCTTGACAGAATCTGACAATCCATTTTGGGTGGGGGGGTTTTCAGACGTAACCGCTTCAACAGTGAGCCTGAGGCCAAGAAGGCCCGCCCCGCTGCTCGCAGGGACAGCTCTGGGTTTGAGCGCTACCCCAAGAACTTTGAGACTGTCCGCAGGGCCGAGCCTCCTCCAACTCCACGCGCAGACATCCGTGACACAGACCGCAGAGAGATCCGAGACAGGGACGAGCGGCGAGCGGTGCCCATGACCGAGCGGCGAGCCGTGCCCTTGACCGAGCGGCGAGCCGTGCCCATGACCGAGCGGCGAGCCGTGCCCATGACCGAGCGGCGGGCCGTGCCCATGACCGAGCGGCGGGCCGTGCCCATGCCCGAGCGCCCAGCCGGGGGCAGAGCACCCATTCCTGGCATGTCTCATACCGGCCGCTCCCCCAGAGGCACCGGGCACGCTGGTCATGCTACTCATACTGGGCATGCAGGATGGAAGAATGACGGCGGCATGAGTGCACCTAAGGGGGACATACGGTGAGAATGGATGGATGCCTAGTGTGCTTGTTTGATTAAGGTTGTAGACAACGGCCTTTTGTTGTAATCCGTGTGGTAATAATCCTGTCTCTGTGGTTGTGGTGTGTAGTGGAGCTGTGCGTACTGGGGGTATGCGTCCAGAGCGTTCAGGCAGAGATGGCCAGGGGCCTGCCCTCAGAGGAGGCTCCACAGCTAGCCGAGGAAGATCCAACTTCAGTGGCCGAGATGGAGGAAGACCCATGGTCATAGCAGACCAGGTCAGCACCTCACAAATCCCCCATAACTAAATCTACACATGCAATACCCTCCATTTCCTCTATTTTTGTTACATTTCAGATAGGGAATTCATAACTACAATCTCCCCTGTTCTCTACCCAGCATTTCAGCTCTGGCCGCCAGGTGGTGGTGGAGCGGCATGGCCGGGACCAGCCGGCCCCCAGGAAGGAGTGGCACGGTGGGGCTGGATCCCAGGGAGGGGGCTTCCCAGACAGCCGCAGGATGGGAGACAGCCGTGGCAGCATGATGGCCCCACACGCAAGGTATTCACTGCAGTTGCATTGACTGTGTGCTTTTCTCTTCATCCAGATTACAACCTCTCACTTTCAGTTAATTGAAACTGGAACCTTTTTCTAAATATCGCCCTTTTCTGAAACAAGCCATACAAAGCTGGTTGCAATTCCAGTTTCATCCTCCAGAAAAGACAGAACAAATATTACAACACATATTATGGCTAAACTGAAATATACTAATTGATTAAAAATTATGGGGAAAAAATATTTGTTAATGAAATTATGAATAGGAAAGGTAGTTATGTCACATGTGCAGTTAACACAAATATATGGAATTGTTAGCTCTATCCAAAATTACAGACAACTGATTGGTGCATTACCGCAAAAATGGAGGAGGCAAGTGGAAGGGGGAGAAAAAGGGGAAGTGGTTTGTCTGGCCTTTGGAGATAAAATAATTGTGATAAATAGAAAAATATTTCATTTGAGGACCAAAATGCGGTGCCATACTTGGGAAGAGATTTTCGATGTGCTGATTCCATGGCACATGGTTTATAAACAGATACACAAAACAACGCTTGACTCAAAACATACTTTTTCAATGTAAATTATTATACAAAATTCTTGCCACCAAAATAAGAATGTCATGTATATGGGGCATACAACCATGTCAGCTATGCAGATTTAGCTGCGAAGAGACAATCATTCGACCACTTATTCTGGTATTGCTCCTATGTAGCCTGTTTCTGGTCACAGGTTCAGGAGTGGCTAAACGGTCAGAACATTGTTCCAAAATGGACCCTACAAATAGCACTGTTGGGCGATCAGGAAAGCCATAGTCAATCAATCAACAACAAAATATATATTTTTAAATCACATCTGTTGATAATATCCCATTTAGAAAGGTTTGAGAATCTGTGTAAGACATCACAGAACAGTTGAAAAATAAATGGCACAAGGAAATCAAGAGGGTGGTCTATGGAGATCGGTGGGATGGGGTGAGAGAAGCCGAGTGGTGGATGTAATCTGTAATAGTTGTGACTGAAATTAATATAAATATATATATATATAATGTGTACCGGACTTGTCTGAGCACAATGAATTAGGCTTGGGCAGTATCCAGATTTTCATACCGACATTGTGCCAAGCCTGGATATTCCGTAATACCGGCACTGAACACCAAGTGCACTATTTTCAAAACCCACTGATCCTCTGAAATCCTAAGGTTAGCAATGCTAACAAGTACATTTAATATCCCATAGAGAACGCTAACTAAATACTAAAGAGGACATTGTGAACATCTTATACGGTCTCTGACCTAAAGTATTTGCAGGACAGACATCCCAGCTCATAAAGTTATACAAGTAACTCAAAAATGCTACTCACAGTTTGCTGCATGCACAAAACAAATATTAGACAGCAAGGCTCTTGATCCATGAACGGATTCTCTGCTGTTACCAAGCAAAGCTTGATTTTGGATGAAGCTAACCACTTAGCTAGATGGCTAACTAGCTACTAAATTAGCAAACCAAATGCACAACTACAGAGCATTTAGCACATTTTAGACAGTTAATAGGTATACGATAACTAACTAGATCACTTGGCATGTGCTGCACAACGGTGAGTGACTCATAAGGCTCCGGTCTCCCGTTGTTGTGTGCTTGTAAACAAACACCACGTGACTGGGGACTACCGGTAAGCTTTATAATGAAAAATTATGACAGGTGAAATGACCACGTTCTTCGTTCTCCTAATTGATTGCACAAGTTGACTGCAGGTATTTACTTAAAGTAGGTACAAATATTTAAATTCAAACGGTATTGGCGGTATGGAAAAACTCCCGTGGCTATTTCCATATACCCCGGTATACGGTATTATCCCAAGCCAACTATGAAACCAAATGTAAAAAATTCCAATGAATCCAAATGTGTATATCAAATAAAAATTGTTGTGATATTATGTAAATAAAAAGTACAATGTATGTAAAAAAAAAAATATATATATGTTTTGGGATTATAGTGAAGCCATATTTGAGTTTGAGTCTTTACTCATTTACTGTATGCTACAGTATGTTTTAGGCAGAAATGTTTCTTTTTGTTTCTCCAGCCACTCTTCGTCTGCAATGAACAGAATCGTGCAGATCACGAACAGTTCCATGTCCAGTGTTGGTGGATTCAAGCCCTTCAAAGGAGCACCTAGAAGGTTCTAACTGCCTCTCCCCAGATCAGTTTAAGCTTATTTTTCAAAAATACATTTTTTTTAAAAACATCATTTCTTTTAGTTGAGTATTGTTTTAAGAGGCTGGTTTCTAGCCTTAAGGTTGATATAGACTTGTTTTGTTTGGTATAGATTACCTCAATGTATGGTTTCCTAACAGTTCTGCTGTGACTTAAACAACCTTGTGCACATAATGTTCAACTTACCTTTAGGATAGAATTGTACAGCTTTAGTTATTTGTAACAAGTTTGATGTTAACTGCTCTTCCCCTAACTGAAACTCATGTACAATGTCAGCAGATCAATGTATTCTTTAACCATCATTTTTAGTTATGCTCCTGGTGCTTCTGAAGGTTATTAAATTATACATGTTGCTAATTTGTCTTCGCGCCTACATTTGACTCATGAAGTGCACATACAAGACATCACACAAATTGAGTGGTTGTGAAAAGAAAACCCACTTTTTTTTTTATTGTCCAGGTACTTTAATAATCAGGCTAAATGTCCCTTGTCTAAGGCATTCTGTTTCAGAAGAAACCCCATCTACATTTTGCAACGGTACTGTGATAGGCTACATACATTATTTGGTCATACAGTGGGTTGAACAAGTATTTGATACACTGCCGATTTTGCAGGTTTTCCTACTTACAAAGCATGTAGAGGTCTGTAATTTTTTTATCATAGGTACACTTCAACTGTGAGAGACGGAATCTAAAACAAAAATCCAGAAAATCACATTGTATGATTTTTAAGTAATTAATTTGCATTTTATTACATGATAAGTATTTGATCACCTACCAACCAGTAAGAATTCCGGCTCTCACAGACCTGTTAGTTTTTCTTTAAGAAGCCCTCCTGTTCTCCACTCATTACCTGTATTAACTGCACCTGTTTTGAACTCGTTACCTGTATAAAAGACACCTGTCCACACACTCAATCAAACAGACTCCAACCTCTCCACAATGGCCAAGACCAGAGAGCTGTGTAAGGACATCAGGGATAAAATTGTAGACCTGCACAAGGCTGGGATGGTCTACAGGACAATAGGCAAGCAGCTTGGTGAGAAGGCAACAACTGTTGGCGCAATTATTAGAAAATGGAAGAAGTTCAAGATGACGGTCAATCAACCTCGGTCTGGGGCTCCATGCAAGATCTCACCTCGTGGGGCATCAATGATCATGAGGAAGGTGAGGGATCAGCCCAGAACTACACGGCAGGACCTGAAGAGAGCTGGGACCACAGTCTCAAAGAAAACCATTAGTAACACACTACGCCGTCATGGATTAAAATCCTGCAGCGCACGCAAGGTCCCCCTGCTCAAGCCAGCGCATGTCCAGGCCCGTCTGAAGTTTGCCAATGACCATCTGGATGATCCAGAGGAGGAATGGGAGAAGGTCATGTGGTCTGATGAGACAAAAATTGAGCTTTTTGGTCTAAACTCCACTCGCCGTGTTTGGAGGAAGAAGAATGATGAGTACAACCCCAAGAACACCATCCCAACCGTGAAGCATGGAGGTGGAAAAATCATTCTTTGGGGATGCTTTTCTGCAAAGGGGACAGGACGACTGCACCGTATTGAGGGGAGGATGGAAGGGGCCATGTATTGTGAGATCTTGGCCAACAACCTCCTTCCCTCAGTAAGAGCATTGAAGATGGGTCGTGGCTGGGTCTTCCAGCATGACAACGACCCAAAACACACAGCCAGGGCAACTAAGGAGTGGCTCTGTAAGAAGCATCTCAAGGTCCTGGAGTGGCCTAGCCAGTCTCCAGACCTGAACCCAATAGAAAATCTTTGGAGGGAGCTGAAAGTCTGTATTGCCCAGCGACAGCCCCAAAACCTGAAGGATCTGGAGAAGGTCTGTATGGAGGAGTGGGCCAAAATCCCTGCTGCAGTGTGTGCAAACCTGGTCAAGACCAACAGGAAACGTATGATCTCTGTAATTGCAAACAGGTTTCTGTACCAAATATTAAGTTCTGCTTTTCTGATGTATCACATACTTATGTCATGCAATAAAAAGCAAATGAATTACTTAAAAATCATACAATGTGATTTTCTGGATTTTTGTTTTAGATTCCGTCTCTCACAGTTGAAGTGTACCTATGATAAAAATGACAGACCTCTACATGCTTTGTAAGTAGGAAAACCTGCAAAATCGGCAGTGTATCAAATACTTCTGTTCTCCCCACTGTATGTATATAGAAAAACATTTGAACCTTCCAACACGAGGATTTACCTTTTTCATATTCACAATTTAACAGGTGGTTCCTTTGTGCGTGTGGTTAAACATAAGTGAAAATATTAACATAATTGAAATTATACTCCGCTAAATGTCATTAGTATGCCTTTGTTTCATTCATCATTACATGCATCACAATAACATTGGGATTAATACAATTGCATTTAATCTCAACAGAACAAAGGGAAACCTATACAGAACATATTCAATCAATATGGGGAATTGCATTCATGTTCTGTGCTCCAGAATCTTTGCTGTAGAATATCTGCTCTTACACATTTCCCATATGAAACTACTAGGGAATTAACCATTTTCTCCAATCTATACAGTATGAATGTCAAAATAGCCAAGTTTTGTTAACTTTTAAAATCCCTTCAGTTTTCCTATAGATGACCAGCCAGTGGCATTTACTGTACACCTTAGCGGCATATTAGTGACATTTTTATTAGTGTGAAAAGCTACGCAAATGCAATAAAACAATTATGGCCTTAGCAGATAAATGGGGGAACAGCTACCTGAAGTTCAAGTTGCATGAACTTTTATTGAAAGGGGCTACACAGTACTTAATGTACTTTTAGTCAAAATATTTAACCAGCCCTTTCATACCATAAAGAAACAATGAGTATTTCATATTCAACTGACTGTTGAAGAGCTACTGTTATAGCAATTCCAGGCATTATTGACAGTTTTCCATTTTTACAAGGTACCCAAAGAACAATAGCACTCGAGCAAAATTTCTAATTCTGTATAAAATGAGGTATTTTCTCTTCTCTTAGGTTGCGTTTACACAGGCAGACCAATTCTGATCATTTTCTTTCACTCATTTGTCTTTTGACCAATCAGATGTGATTAGTGGAAAGAATATCAGAATTATGCCTGTCCAAACGCAGCCTTAGTAGTGCATATCAATGTAACAGTTCAAAACCAATTACAATGACTATGTTCAAGGACTACCTTGTTAAGACTGTTTGTACAGTATTTACCCCACAAGCACTATAACAAGGCTTACAAATATTCACTTGAGGCATTCCACAAACAAAATCCTTATCAATTAATTTGAGGAACAACATTGATGCTGAAACACAAAACAAAATGTCTAGATACTGGCAAATAATGCAATGTAAATTACTCCAAAAGCAAGCTTATGCACTATAAAAACGTGTGTGTGGCATACATGAAACATCTTGTTGCTCCCCCAAAAAACCTCAAAGTAATTAGATAGTGGCCCTATGTGAGGTTCTGTTCATAATACTCACTACTAGTTGCCTTTTGAATGTCATTATGTATGGGGTTTAGGCCATTGGGAAGGTTGACCACATTAACAAGTAATTCTAGCTGTACTGTGACGGGTAACTTTAAATGGATGTTATTTTACAAAATAAACAACAGAGTATGGATTGTGTCCCTGACACTCAAAGGGACATGGTCCTTCGCCTATCCCCCAAACTTTCACAAAATCATTCTAGTCATTAATGTTAAGGACATACTGTAGCACACCATACACAGGATGTACACGCTTGCTTCAACATAGGTGTTTCTCTTTAAACCCTGTCATTTCAGTCATATATTACTTTTTGGGTAGTCATTGTGAACATAAAAGCAGCAGCAGCTTAATTCATTTTCTAAAAGGAGCCTTAAATTCCGTTACAAGGGGCAAACTTATTCTAGTGTAAAGTCATAGTGAATTCCTTTGACTTGGTAGGCCTGAAAGAAGCTCAGAAACCCATCGTGTTATGCCATTTCTGAGAGAGAATTATATCCATGAACATACACTACCAGTCAAAGGTTTGGACACACCTACTCATTCAAGGGTTTTTCTTTCTTTTTACTATTTTCTACATTGTACAATAATAGTGAAGACAAACACTGAAATAACACATATGGAATCATGTAGTAACCAAAAAAGTGTTAAACAAATCAAAATATATTTTATATTTGAGATTCTTCAAATAGCCACCCTTTGCCTTGATGACAGCTTTGCACACCTTGGCATTCTCTCAACCAGCTTCATGAGGTAGTCACCTGTAATGCATTTCAATTAATAGGTGTGCCTTCTTAAAAGTTAATTTGTGGAATTTCTTTCCTCCTTAATGCGTTTGAGCCAATTAGTTGTGTTGTGACAAGGTAAGGGGGATATACAGAAGATAGTCCCTATTTGGTAAAAGACCAACTCCATATTATGGCAAGAACAGCTCAAATAGCGAAGAGAAACGACAGTCCATCATTACTTTAAGACATGAAGGTCAGTCAATACGGAACATTTCAAGAACTTTGAAAGTTTCTTCAAGTGCAGTCACAAAAAACATCAAGCGCTACGATGAAACTGGCTCTCATGAGGACCACCACAGGAATGGAAGACCCAGAGTTACCTCTGCTGCAGAGGATAAGTTCATTAGTTACCAGCCTCAGAAATTGCAGCCCAAATAAATGCTTCAGAGTTCAAGTAACAGACACATCTCAACATCAACTGTTCAGAGGGACTGTGTGAATCAGGCCTTCATGGTCGAATTGCTGCAAATAAACCACTACTAAAGTACACCAATAAGAAGAGACCTGCTTGGGCCAAGAAACACAAGCAATTGACATTAGACCGGTGGAAATTTGACCTTTGGTCTGGAGTCCAAATCTGAGATTTCTGGTTCCAACCACTGTGTCTTTGTGAGACGCGGTGTGGGTGAACGGATGATCTCCGCATGTGCAGTTCCCACCGTAAAGCATGGAGTAGGAGGTGTTATGGGTGTGGGGGTGCTTTGCTGGTGACACTGTGTGATTTATTTAGAATTCAAGGCACACTTAACCAGCATGGCTACCACAGCATTCTGCAGCGATACGCCTTCCCATCTGGTTTGGGCTTAGTGGGACTATCATTTGTTTTTCAACAGGACAATGACCCAACAAACCTCCAGGCTGTGTAAGGGCTATTTTACCAAGAAGGAGAGTGATGGAGTGCTGCATCAGATGACCTGACCTCCACAATCCCCCGACCTCAACCCAATTGAGATGGTTTGGGATGAGTCTGATGGAAGGAAAAGCAGCCAAAAAGTGCTAAGCATATGTGGGAACTCCTTCAAGACTATTGGAAAAGCATTCCAGGTGAAACTGCTTGAGAAAATGCCAAGAGTGTGCAAAGCTGTCATCAAGGTAAAGGGTGGCTATTTGAAGAATCTCAAATATAAAATATATTTTGATTTGTTTAACACTTTTTTGGTTACTACATGATTCCATATGTGTTATTTCATAGTTTTGATGTCTTCACTATTATTCTACAATGTAGAAAATAGTAAAAATAAAGAAAAACCCTTGAATGAGTAGGTGTCCAAACTTTTGACTGGTAATGTAACTAACTAGCAATAATTATGCACAGCCTGATAATATGAAGTTGACCTAGTTAGATACCATGTGTTGAAATAAGTTGTTACTGATACCTATATGTGGTTACACATTTACATTACAACACATTCTCGAGGGAGTTACTACAGGGTATATTAAATACTTTACAATGGTATATATATCAATCATTGCTGTTGCCAAGACAGCAAATACACATCAAACAATTTACAAAAGACACTCAAGGATATGTCCCTTCAGAGAAGGCCTGAGAGTATTTCTGATGTCTAGGTTCAAATCTACAGATTGTCTCATTCTGGTAATACACCTGTTTCCCGTTCATCCTTATAAAAGATATTGTAAATGTTGTAAGGCATTTTATATACAGAGTAAGTGTGGCCTCGTGAGGGCCGTATAGACAGGCTGAGCTAACCCCAGTCCTCAAGTCCAGCCAGCAGATAAGCCTTACTACTGATTAGTCAGGTAGCCTACTGCTCCAAGATGCAGCCAGTTGCCAGGCAAAAATAAATACTAAGTACTGGACTTGTCCTTGAAGGCTGGGGTTGTCAATTTCTGGACAATGAGAACAAAATGTAACAGACAAAAATGGGAGACCCCTTAACTAGCAGCACTGCAAAGAGTCTCCCCTGGAACTGTGTTTCTAAGTCTGACGTACAACACAAGGCTTGAGTCAAGGCATCCAGCTGGAATGTATAGATAGAAAACTGTTAATTTCTCAGGAGGTGGCAGTACCATAGTAGGACAATGGCACAAACTACTAGCTAGCTCTGTCATAAATGCGCATTAGGTATGTACACAATGTATATAAATTTGTCTGAAAGTCAGATATTGTAGGAGGAGCACATGGATTCAAACATGGCTACAGTAGAAAATCTTACTTCCATAACTCAACTAGGAGGTCATGAGGCTTCCCATATTGACACCATCTCTGTCAACTTTTTATGGTGTGTGACCAGCAGTTAAACTGCCGGCAGAGCTGTGTGACATTGGGCACTTCAGACTATTAGTGTGGGATCCTACTATCACTCTGCCTCTGCAGCCAATAACCAATAACCAGCCAAGTCTCTCAGGGACAGCGTAAGAGTGAGCGACAGAAGTCAAATTAGGTCAGGTGCACTGTCCTGTGTTTCCATGGTTATGTCTGTGTGATTGTACTGGATGTGAAGCATATAAAGGAAATATGAGAAATTAAATACATGGCATATCTTTCAATCCAACTGCTCATATACATCGTACAACTTTTGCTGTTGTTGATGATGTTAGGTTATTTCCAAGTTGAAATTAAGAGCATAAATCAATGCAGCTGAGCATATCAGCCACACATACACGCTGTAGACACCAATGCCATACACACACACACCAGAATTCAACACTGCCATACTCTGGTACGGTCAATCTGGATAGGGCGAGTATTAATGGCAGATGAGGGTTGGCAGACACAGCACTTACCAGAGTATGGAACTGTGACTTCCAGGCCTCTCAGGAAGAACAGGGATGTGGTTAGTGTTTAGTGGGATATACAAAAGGCTTGTCACAACAGGGTCTTACATTAATTTCTAACTGGCAAAAACATAAATGAATCCCTTTCAATTTAAGTATATACCAAAATAAAATCTCTAAAATACTCTCACACACGCAAAAACACACTTAAAGTAGTAATTTGGCATCCATTAACGTGGCGAAGAGACAGGAGTGCTTAGATATTACACTCACTGATGTCCCCATCACCTCATCTCTATCCCAATAGGACTCTGACCAAACTGTTGATTATCTCCAATTGGAAGGAGCTAATTGACCCCCACCAACCAACAAACCAGCAAATGTTACGTGTTTTCAGTAAAAAGTCTAATGCTCAAAAACGGAACTGAATCAAAGCAGGCATATCTACACATATGTGCTGTAAAAAAAAAAAACAAAAAAGCTTATCAACTGCAAGAATAATGAAAATGAAAAAATGGTTTCCTTGAAAAAAGTTGGTGCTATGAGAGGAGATATTTCAGATTCTGAATTCTTTCCGACCCAGAATCCTGTTTCTGGGATTTCTCATTTTGCTATAAAATCACCCCCAATAACCTTGACCCCAGATCACAAATATAGTGCACTGTGCGACTTGTAACAAAGTTTGGCCAACTGTACGAAATATTAGTGGTAGTTGTCATAGCGTCCCTTCCTCTGTTGTCCGGGCCCACTGAGGGTAGAGGATGGCAGGCACCAGTGGCTTGGGAACGGCTACTCCTCAGTTTGTCTCGTCGCTATCTCTCGCTCTTAAAAAGGGGCTGTGCGTAGGTGTCAGTTCAATGTGAAAAGAAATGCGGCCCCCCTCTTTCTCGCTCTCTCTCACACAAACACACACCCATCCTCTGTTACAATATAACACATTTGTCTTTATCCTTGGGCTCTTTTTTGGGTTTGCGCTCCCCGGCAGAGGGCTGCTTCCCAGGGCTGGGCGTGGCTCCAGCTGCTCTTGATGATGCTGCTGCCGATGATGATGATGCTGCTTCTGCTGCTGCTCTGTCTGCTTCGTCACTGCCCTCTGCTGGCTGCTGCACAACAGACAGGAGCGTCAACCATAATACCTACCTGTGGCTCAACCATAATACCTACCTGTGGCTCAACCATAATACCTACCTGTGGCTCATTCAAGCCGGTGAATAAGCAACATTACATCACAACAACATTACATTAAACATAGAGATACATTCAGATAGAACATGTACTGTGTCCAACAGATTCATGTCAGCTATAGATTTCATTTATATCTGACTAAACCCCTGACTCTGCTATATCTATATAAACTGACAACCCTTACCCTTTTTCTCATTCTCATTCCTCATTTTTCCCTACGCATCTTTCTCTCATCATGTTGCTCATTCAATTCCACTCCTCCCATCTTCCCTCCCTCCTTCTCACAAGCTCCCCTCCCTCCCTCCCTCCCTCCCTTCCTTCTTTCCTTCGTGGCTCCTTCCCTGACCTGTGCTCGTGCTGCGGCAGCCTGCTCCTGCTCCTGTTCCTGGTAGTACTGGGAGGCTCGGCGGTCCTCCTCCTCCTGCAGCTTCTTTGCCAGCTCCAGGTCACTGATGCCCTCGGGGAGCTGCTCCCACTGCAGGTCCTGACTCTGCTGCAGCGACAACGCCATCAGGTAGTCCTGCATTCAGAGAGAGAGAGAGAGAAAGAGAAAGAGAAAATAGGACCAGGTCAATGCGTTTCACTTCATGGTGTTTACACTGTTACCAGAGTGATGTGCCACTGCCAAGTGGTTAAGTAAGCCTAGTTGTAAACTACAAAACACCACCCATTTTAAAGTCAGGGCTAAACACCTATTTATTCATTCATAACCCTCATGTAGAGTGAAACCAATCTTTTCCTGAGTGCAGCAGCAGATTGTCTTAATTGTTGGCTATGATATGCCCTCTCAAGCATAAGAGTGTCTGGGTCTGAGTGGATGAGTGTGTGAGTAGTGATGACTCCCTCCCTCTCTGTACTGGGTGAGGGTGGTGATGTGGACCCTGGCAGACGAACAAGCTGCTGGGCAGCCCTGCCACCAGGCCTAACGGGACAGCCAATCAGCTGTCGGCTGCACAGGGGACACAAACCACATCATGCATTATTAAACAGCCAATCGAAGTGCAGCGTGATGCAGCACAGTACAGAGAGAGGCGCCACATGTCACGGTCATCTCCTGATCAGGCATTCAGACATCAAAACCCTGAGTGTGTGTGGGGGGTTAACGGGAGAGCAGGGGAGCTTTGAACATCTATTATTGGGACATCTTTCCCCTGCTACTTCTCCAGGGTAGAGCTGAGTGCAGATGGAGCAGGCTAGGAAGCCACGGGGAAAACAGAGCCCAGAGAGAGAGGATGTGTGTAATATTTACTGTACCCTTTATACAATCCACTCTGTTTATCTTCAGGTACACTCTGTCATTGTGACTCACCCTGACCTAGTGTGTTTATAATGCTGCACTGTGACTGGTATACATCCTCTGCAAGAGATATGTGGGGAACCCAATAGTGCGAAATGGCTGCCATGATTAAGCTAGATGGGTGTTCAGCATTGTTTGTCATTGCTCCCATTAATGAAGTGGAATTGGATCAGAGAGCCCAATTAGGGTAGTGGTCTAGTGGTCTGACCTGGTCTATCTGGTCCTGTTGTCCGCGGTACACCGTCTCTGGGTCTGACGGGGGTCGCAGGCGGAACTCAGAGTCACAGAAGTTGCCATCCCCGTCCACGTTGTGTAGGCTCTCCCACACCACCTTCTCCTCCGTCAGGAAGCCCTGGTCTGTCACCAGGAGGTACAGCTGGCCCTGAGCACACAGAGACACACACGTTATACACACACACACACGTCTTATCACTGCCAGCAAACACATCTACACACCCTCTTATTCCTGTAGTAGGTTACACCCGGAATAATGAGTCTCTCTGTGTGTGTGTGTGTTTAAAGGAGGGTGGCTTTGGTACTGGTAAGCATTTCTCTTGGGGTCATGCATGCTACACACAGCTTGCTTCACTTGGCAAGCATGCTCACACACACACACACACACACACACACACACACACACACACACACACACACACAGACAGGTCTGCACCACTTGCCCTGCTATAGATAACAGGAAGAGCCTGTCCCAGCTGCAGTGATAAGGGGAGGGAGCACAAGGCGGATGAAACCATCGTAGATAGGATTCAAACTCTCTAGGTGCTGAATAGGTCCCCATCACGTGTCTGCCATGCTCCTAGGGGCATTTGTATTTATGCCCTCACCCCAGCCACAGAACCCTGTGTACTGAACATTACATAACCTGGGACTGGGGTGTGGGGAGCTCTATTGGGAGGGGGAGGACGGGGAGAGGGGAATGCACTACCAGTGCTCAGCTGTTAACAGATGGTTGGAAAGACTTGGATGAAAGAAAGTCCCATGTGTCAACAACCCACCATACATACAATGGGGTGATCTGATCCGGAAGTTAGCTATACATTTGAAATAAAGGCTTATCTGGGACTGAGTGATATGAATTCAGTAACATTGTGCAATTAATTTATAAAACACCCTTTCCCACTACTAAGAGGACAAGGCAGACTTGACTTGTTTTGTTCATAATGGATGGTGGTTAGGGGACGCTGTAGTAGAGGAAAGTAAGGAAGAACCATTCACAGTAAACAGTATTTCAAGGCCCCATTTGTCATAACCAGTGGATAAAGGCTTGGCAATGATTTTAGTGGTCAGTCACCTTGAACTTGATCATGGTGCTGAAGTGGTTGTTCCTGAAGAACACACAGAGCTCTCCTTCCTGCACGGTGGACGTGAGCACACACAGGCCGTGGTACGTCAGCTGGGTGGCCGTGCTGTGCAGAAACTGCTCCGCTACAAAGCCTGCAGGCATAGAGAGGGGGGGGGGGAGAGAGAGAGAAGTCAGGAGATAGAGTGAGTCAGTGAGAGACAGACAGACACACAAGACCGACAATGATAGACAGGCTGACATACAGACAAAGACTTAGAGACTGATACAAAGTGATGTACAGACGGACCAGGAGATAGACACACTGACCTATAGACTGAGACACAGAGAGAGAGAGAGAGAGAGATATAGACAGAGTTGTATTGTGACAGGGAGAGGCAGGGTGATATTCTAACTAAGACAAGGAGACAACTAGACAGACGGTGGAGAAGCACTGGAGAGGATGAGAGAAACTGAGATGCAGCTCTCCGCCCCGCTAACTGACTCACTCTTTCGTTATTTGGTTATTTATGTGATGATGCTAAAATGTTTATTCTATTCTACTGAGCCATTTACTTTATGTTCGTAGGAACGAGAAGGAACCTGCAAGTAAGCATTTCGTTGGACGATGTATACCATGCGTATCCCGTATATATAAAAAATAAAAAATAAACTTGATGCTAAAAGCATAAAACATTCCAACCAGAAGAAAACGTGCCTCTGACAGGAATACATGTGACCTGCCCAGGGTGAGCAATACGAGCAGCGTGAGAGAGACGAAAAGGAAAAGAGCTCAACTAAAGTCTGTCGTCCAAAGGAATGTTTAGCCCAGGCGCTCCCTCCGTTTATCTGCTCAGCGCAAAAGGAGGAAATGGAGTGAAATGTCGGTCTTATCAAGCAGCCCGGGATGTGTAGTCGAGGGAGGATGCAGCGGAGAGAAAGAAAGAAAGCAACACATCCCCCCAGTCGGTCGGTCCACCCACCTTCCCCAGCCAGCTCGCTGCTGTCCGACTGTTTGCAGGAGATTATCTTCTCCACCAGCTGGTTGTAGCTGCAGTTACCCACTGCCTTCTCCGTGTCGCCCATCTGGAGGGAACATAGAAGAGAGAGAGAGCATTCATCAACCATTGTTGTGTTCTACTATGCAGTGAGGGGCGGCAGGTAGCTTAGTGGTTAAGAGCGTTGTGCCAGTAACCGAAAGGTCGCTGGTTCTAATCCCCGAGCCAACTAGGTGAAAATTCTGTCGATGTGCCCTTGACCAAGGCACTTAACCCTAATTGCTCCTTTAAATTGCTCTGGATAAGAGCGTCTGCTAAATGACTAGAGCATATTGTCATGTTTTCAAGAGAAAAATACTCAGGAGGAGCTGCATGCTAACCAGTCATTCTGAAGTCATTTCTTTCATAAATAATGTGTGGAGATGGTTTATTGTCTGTATGACAAAACGGCTTTAGAGTACCACAGTATGTCATAATACCCATAAAACCTAGCGGTCAAACAGGGAAATGGTTCCAATCGTTTTTTCACCATTCATTATTCCCATAGGGGATTTTAGAAACACTTCATATAAGGGCTGTGTTTCGTGTAGGCTTACCCTGGCGTGATGTTTTGTTAACCTTGTAAATCTCTCTAGGACAAGGTGATTTTTAACAATATATTTGCCTGTATATCATAGTAATAGCTACATTGGTTAAAGGCGTTATGATGTTGCCGTGAGCAGCACCGCAGTTATTGCAATGAGCCCGAAGGAATATTTTGCTTTCAGTCACACAGAGTATTTGGGCATGTGCACGGGTTCGCTTCAAGCTGCTACAATGTGGTAGCTACAGGACCAAAACAGCGGAGAAGTTCAGCCTCACGCTTAAACGCTCTGAGTTCTTGCGGAAATTGACCCACTACTGCTGTTTTCTTTGTGCATTTACATGAAACACTGAGTCTACTTTTAAAGAGGGCTGAAAGGGGGGGGGGTTCTCACCTGCGGGTCCACCAGCCAGCCGTGGTAGAGAGGGATGTCCAGCAGGTCAAAGACGATGCACTCTGGGGTGTACTCAAAGACCCGCACCCCTGTGAACTTCACGTTGACATCCAGCCCCGTCTGCAGCTTGTGCAGCACCGCCATAGCATCACTCATATTCTGGGGAACAACAAATAGAAAGTAATGTTCTGTGTCTTTTCAAGGTCTTTAGCCAGGGCTGTTAGTCTTTGTAGAATTCTTGTTGACTATGGCATTGAAATAAGATTTGACATCGGAAGAAATGTTGAGGACAGTGAACCAACCACTGTCACATACTACAGCAGTTACATAGAGCTAGAAAAACAGCAGAGTCACCCACAGAAACCAGGTAGTTTGGACTATAAATTAAGTATACAAACTGTACAAATCAGAAAGTGTCCTGACCAAGGAACTTCCTGTCTATCATACTCATCACTCCCTCCTGTCGTTCGCCCACTCAGACACACAAAAGGCTAACACCCGTCTGTAGCAACGCGCATGCCGCGCCCACCTGAGGATCTGTCTTTTTCAGCCATCTATTTCCTGTGTTTGAGGGGTGCAAAATCCACTTGTAACTTAAATCTCGTTGGATTGATTGCTTTCACTTTCCTCCTGCGACTCTTTCATACTTTGCTTGTGCCTGTCTTTTTCATTCATTAACGTTACAACCGCGGAAATGTTTGTAATGACCTGTCAAACACACCCCGGTAACGTCTGAAATGGGCTGAATGGAATACATTGTCTTTCCGTTGCATATATAAGAACACTAAAGCTTCTTCAGGGGACACATCATCTCAACACTTACATCACAAGAAAGAGAAGAAAGATCACTTTATTTTGATGGGTGTCCATTTTTTGTGGAATTGAAAAAAAGTAATAATTTGCTTCGGTTGAAATGTTGACAAATTAGATGCACTGAAATGAAAGCAACTTCCGAAAATGAACACTGATTATAGTGATATGTCTGATATCGCAAACAATTCAAAGTATGTATAGATACAGTGGGGAGAACAAGTATTTGATACACTGCCGATTTTGCAGGTTTTCCTACTTACAAAGCATGTAGAGGTCTGTAATTTTTATCATAGGTACACTTCAACTGTGAGAGACGGAATCTAAAACAAAAATCCAGAAAATCACATTGTATGATTTTTAAGTAATTAATTTGCATTTTATTGCATGACATAAGTATTTGATACATCAGAAAAGCAGAACTTAATATTTGGTACAGAAACCTTTGTTCGCAATTACAGAGATCATACGTTTCCTGTAGGTCTTGACCAGGTTTGCACACACTGCAGCAGGGATTTTGGCCCACTCCTCCTTCAGGTTTCTGGGCTGTCGCTGGGCAATACAGACTTTTAGCTCCCTCCAAAGATTTTCTATTGGGTTCAGGTCTGGAGACTGGCTAGGCCACTCCAGGACCTTGAGATGCTTCTTACGGAGCCACTCCTTAGTTGCCCTGGCTGTGTGTTTTGGGTTGTTGTCATGCTGGAAGACCCAGCCACGACCCATCTTCAATGCTCTTACTGAGGGAAGGAGGTTGTTGGCCAAGATCTCGCGATACATGGCCCCATCCATCCTCCCCTCAATACGGTGCAGTCGTCATGTCCCCTTTGCAGAAAAGCATCCCCAAAGAATGATGTTTCCACCTCCATGCTTCACGGTTGGGATGGTGTTCTTGGGGTTGTACTCATCCTTCTTCTTCCTCCAAACACGGCGAGTGGAGTTTAGACCAAAAAGCTATATTTTTGTCTCATCAGACCACATAACCTTCTCCCATTCCTCCTCTGCATCATTCAGATGGTCATTGGCAAACTTCAGACGGGCCTGGACATGTGCTGGCTTGAGCAGGGGGACCTTGCGTGCGCTGCAGGATTTTAATCCATGACGGCGTAGTGTGTTACTAATGGTTTTCTTTGAGACTGTGGTCCCAGCTCTCTTCAGGTCATTGACCAGGTCCTGCCGTGTAGTTCTGGGCTGATCCCTCACCTTCCTCATGATCATTGCAACTCCACGAGGTGAGATCTTGCATGGAGCCCCAGGCCGAGGGAGATTGACAGTTATTTTGTGTTTCTTCCATTTGCGAATAATCGCACCAACTGTTGTCACCTTCTCACCAACTGCTTGGTGATGGTCTTGTAGCCCATTCCAGCCTTGTGTAGGTCTACAATCTTGTCCCCTGACATCCTTGGAGAGCTCTTGGTCTTGGCCATGGTGGAGAGTTTGGATCTGATTGATTGATTGCTTCTGTGGACAGGTGTCTTTTATTCAGGTAACAAGCTGAGATTAGGAGCACTCCCTTTAAGAGTGTGCTCCTAATCTCAGCTTGTTACCTGTATAAAAGACACCTGGGAGCCAGAAATCTTTCAGATTGAGAGGGGGTCAAATACTTATTTCCCTCACTAAAATGCAAATCAATTTATAACATTTTTGACATGCGTTTTTCTGGATTTTTTTGTTGTTATTCTGTCTCTCACTGTTCAAATAAACCTCCTATTCAAATTATAGACTGATCATTTCTTTTTCAGTGGGCAAACGTACAAAATCAGCAGGGTATCTAATACTTTTTTCCCTCACTGTATACACACAGTTGAAGTCGGAAGTTTACATACACTTAGGTTGGAGTCATTAAAACTCGTTTTTCAACCACTCCACAAATTTCTTGTTAACAAACTATAGTTTTGGCAAGTCGGTTAGGACAGTAAGTAATTTTTTCCAACAATTGTTTACAGACAGATTATTTCACTTATAATTCACTGTATCACAATTCCAGTGGGTCAGAAGTTTACATACACTAAGTTGACTGTGCGTTTAAACAGCTTGGAAAATTCCAGAAAATGATGTCATGGCTTTAGAAGCTTCTGATAGGCTAATTGACATAATTTCAGTCAATTGGAGGTGTACCTTTGTATGTATTTCAAGGCCTACCTTCAAACTCAGTGCCTCTTTGCTTGACATCATGGGAAAATCAAAAGATATCAGCCAAGACCTCAGAAAAAAGATTGTAGACCTCCACAAGTCTGGTTCATCCTTGGGAGCAATTTCCAAACGCCTGAAGGTACCACATTCATCTGTACAAACAATAGTACGCAAGTATAAACACCATGGGACCACGCAACCGTCATACCACTCAGGAAGGAGACGCGTTCTGTTTCCTAGAGATTAACGTACTTTGGTGCGAAAAGTGCAAATCAATCCCAGAACAACAGCAAAGGACCTTGTGAAGATGCTGGAGGACACAGGTACAAAAGTATCTATATCCACAGTAAAACGAGTCCTATTTCGACATAACCTGAAAGGCCGCTCAGCAAGGAAGAAGCCACTGCTTCTGTTGAAGTCGGAAGTTTATATACATATATACATATATATACATATACACACATACAAAAGTATGTGGACACCCCTTCAAATGAGTGGATTCGGCAATTTCAGCCACACCTGTTGCTGACAGGTGTATAAAATCGAGCACACAGCCATGCAATCTCCATAGACAAACATTGGCAGTTGAATGGCCTTACTGAAGAGCTCAGTGACTTTCAACGTGGTACCGTCATAGGATGCCACCTTTCCAACAAGTTAGTTCGTCAAATTTCTGCCCTGCTAGAGCTGCCCCGGTCAACTGTAAGTGCTGTTATTGTGAAGTGGAAACATCTAGGAGCAACAACAGCTCAGCCGCAAAGTGGTAGGCCACACAAGCTCACAGAATGGGACCGCTGAGTGCTGAAGCGCGTAGCGTGTAAAAATCGTCTGTCCTCTGTTGCAACACTGACTATAGAGTTTCAAACTGCCTCTGGAAGCAATGTCTGCACAATAACGGTTTGCCGGGAGCTTCATGAAATGGGTTTCCATGGCCGAGCAGCCGCACACAAGCCTAAGATCACCATGCGCAATGCCAAGCGTCGGCTGGAGTGGTGTAAAGCTCGCCACCATTGGACTCTGGAGCAGAGGAAACGCGTTCTCTGGAGTGATGAATCATGCTTCTCCATCTGGCAGTCTGACAGACAAATCTGGGTTTGGCGGATGCCAGGAGAACGCTACCTGCCCCAATGCATAGTGCCAACTGTAAAGTTTGGTGGAGGAGGAATAATGGTCTGGGGCTGTTTTTCCTTTTTCTGGTCATGTAGTCTATCATTAAGACACACAGCGAGGATTCTCTCTGCTTTATCCTCCTTGTTTTCCTACTTGTATTCTTGAGGACAGGTGCTAAAGCACAAGTCCAACGTGAGTCAGCGCTGTGAATACAAAACGTGCCTAAAGCAAAAACACACACACTGACACATGCACACACAACTGTGTGGGCACTGCGTCTCTGTCTGGTGGGTGGCGAAGCTGGCAGCACAGTAAGAGATCAGGAACGTGCCCGCCCACTGCTCCCGCTCTGCCCAGTGCCCAACATGCTGCCTGCTCTGCACACCCACGCCCTCCTGCTGTGTGGCCAAGCCCTGCTCCGCTCAGCTCTAGCCGCTCACAGACTACAGATTATGACCAGACTACATCTAAGTAATGCCACCCTAATCATAAATTCTGTGCTGAATATGGTATCCACACAGAGCTTGTGGTATTTGCATGTGATGATGTACAGTAGACTATTCCGAGGTCACTGGACAATGAAGGCCAGTATTCAATGGTTCCACTCCAGCTTTTACGGAAGAGGGAGACTGATTGGATAAACAGGCCGGCCTTCCTGTCACATGTTCCACTAGCAGGCTGGGAGCCAGATCAATATTTAATTCCCACAACCCTGTGGCAGAGCCACACACACGGCCACGGTCATCCGCCAGCTCAAACCAGCAGGTCTCACACACACACGTTCTGCTTCCACTGGGGACTGGGGAGTGACTCCAGACCTCCATCCACTGGCAAATCAGGCTGATAGGAACACGTGGCTGACTGACAGACTGATTGACAGACACAGGCAAGAGCTTTGCTTCAGTTTTCATGTCATTGGCACACTGAGTGGACAGCTCCCTGAGTATTATGGAGATCTGGCACAAATCGTTATTAGGTAGCCTACGTCAGTTTTTAGCTCTGCATTTTTGTCTACAACTGTGCACTCTTAAATTCCACAATCATGTATATATACAGCGACACAGCTGCCACATTATTTTTAGTAGCATCTCTATCTCAATAAAATAGAATATTCTATATCATTTAACCATAAAAGTGCTACTGCGTACAAAATCTCATGAGTGCCCTTTATCAAGGCTATGGGAACCTGACCAAGACCAGCCTTGGCAGAATAAACCTTCACTGAGCACTCCAGTTTCTCAGAGTTACTGTTTAACAACAGCTGAGCAATCTCCATTTTAATCCTCATATCCTCCTCCGACAGATGATGTTTTGAAGCCAGAGTTTATAAATAGAACTCTGTTATGCTGAACTCGTTCAACACTCTTCAAAATCATGAAAGGAACTTGACTATTCAAATATGCAGCAGACAATATCAAACAAAGGCAAGATTTAACAAATGTATTATATTTTGGTTTGGCATGCACATTGGCATGTGAAAGACTCCCTAGTGAAAGACAGCCTCCCTAACCCTCTCTCACCCTATCCCCATTCATGGTGTGAGGCTCCTTCCGTGCCTGGATGAGTGCTCTCCTGTCGTGTTGAGGCAGGGCTTACACAGCCAAATCTAACAGGAACCCACAACTGTTTCTGCCCCAGCTAACAACACAGAGCCTGCCCTAAACTCTACACATCCACCACATGGCCTATCCACACACGGACACACAGTGCACAAATACACAAGCCACAGAGCCTGGTGTTCTGGACCATAGTCCAAGATTAGACCACCATAATTACAATGAGTCCACCACCATTTAATTTGAGCGCTGCTAGTTTTTTCTGCTTAAATTCACACAAAGTACCAGAAGCTTGGAGAGCTACGACTGTACGGCAGTCAGAACATTCTCCTTCTTATAGTAATCCAGACTCTGGTATGTACACACACACACATTACTTCTCTCCTCCCCGAACGATGACATCCGTGAAGAGAATAACATTCACAGATGTGCTGGTTCTTTGCCACAGCCGAGTAGAGAGGAGGAGGAGAGGAAGAGAGGCCGTGCCCCTCCCACATTCCAGGCAGGCAGCAGGGTTAGGGATGGAGTGTGGATGGGAGTGGGAATGGGAAAGCCATCCCTGCCAGGCCATGTCAGCCACTCAGAGCCCCAGCGCTGGCCTCGATCTGAACAGCCGTGCATCCCTGAGCACCCTCCCACAGCGATGTGAAGAGACACGATCTGCCCCTCATGACCCGTGCTGTGCCGTGGGCCTGGCAAGACGCGGCTTATGTAACCTATATAGGGGCTAAACGCAGCTCCAGGGCAGTGGGCTGTTTTTTCCCTGACATATAACCCTAATCATCACGCTGCTTATTTTCATCTAACATAAATATACATTCATTGGTCTTTCTGGAGATTCATTCCCAATGCAAATGTTGTGCAAATGCACTGACGCAGATGCACATGACCGTTATAAATAGTCATCATCTTAACACTGCATCGTTGCCTATTAGAATAGAAGAGGACAGGAACTGCAGTCACTAAACGGCAGGCAGGGATATTTTAGGTGTAGAAGTGAGAACAAGTGAGCCCCCCTGGCGTGGTGTGAGTTAATAGTGTGATGCTGCTTTTGCTTTTTGGCTGCTGCTCTGCCATCAGAGATCTAAGAGGGAGAGGAGGGGTACTCAACAGTCTAGCCTGCCTGCCTGCCTCTCCCTCCCAGCCTCCTCGCTCATCCTGCATGCCCGTCTGATTCTCCAACATGAGCCACAGACAGACACAAGAGAGATGGACCGGCAGACATGCTTATGAACAGTGAATAACTGCCCTTATTGATTGTGTTTAGGCAACAACAGTCCTTACCTGCTCATAGTTTAGCCGCTGGGCTTCAGAGATCTCTTTCGGCTTGGCATCGAGGATGTAGTCTCCTGCAGGGGAGAGAGAGAGAGAGAGAGGAGGAAGCAACATCAGAGGTCCTGGGGATACAGGCTAATTAAAGCAGCCACAGACACACAGGGGAGCTGTGAAAATATCATCAGGGTAGTGCCCTGCCCTCTCACCACTGACATCACAAAGCTTACGGACCGTCTGCTTACGTCAATCACATGTAAAGAGGTGATATTATCGACTGCGTTCTGATTCCATAAGAAGTGTCTAATCCTCAGTGAGAAGTGGGGTGTGGAGTGTTAAGCGCTGGCCAGCTATTTTTCCAAGAAGGGCTCGGCCAGGCATGCAGGGTTAGTCGAGCCCCGGCCAGTGGGGAGCCGCTAGAGAGGTGTTGAGGGCTTAGTGTAGGACCTAGGAAGAGCAGCCAATGGGGCAGGCAGGGAGAGCCTTGCAAAGTCAGTCAACCACCACAGAGAGTGAGAGCCCTGTGGTGCTAATCACAGTGCACCTGTCATCCACCCATTAACATTGCACCCAACTCCACCCTCCCCTCTCTGAGCAACACAGTCTCTCACTGTCGAAAACATACCCAATTGCGAGATATTTGATGTTACAAGATAACGATTCTGTGAGACTTTTATATCTGAAAAACTAAAATAGGCCTTTTCTCATAATCCAACGATTGCTTTCTTACTTTAGCAAAGTGAGCCAGTGGTCAGTGTGTTTGAGAGCCGGGGAGCTACTCTGATTTCATCTCCATATCTTCTCCTCAGACACAGGCTTCCTCAGCCCAGGCCAAGAATGCACCCAGCTGAGGCCAGTCAACTGACTCGGACATTTCTATGCCCAGGGAAACCCCCGGCCATACCCCCCTATCTCCCTCCCTCCGCCTGCCCCCTGTTCCCTGCCAGCTGACTGTAGACTGTGCCCTCCCTGCCTGGGCCTCTACTGCTGCTGCTGATTCACTGGCATGCCCCACGGAGTACTAAATCCCAACATCGACCAGCAGCCTCTTTAATACAACATACATCTCCTCCACTTCTGCCCTTATGGGCCTCACAGTAGTTATTAATAAAGCATCTGAATCAGCCCACGTTAAATGGGGCTCTTTGTGAGCAGCTCTTTCTCACAAGCCATTGTTTTTTGGCTGGGCATGAAACAATAACTGTGCGTAGTGAGGCTAGGAGACAGGCCTATCTGCCTGTTCCTGGACATTACACACGATTAATGGTTTGACCAGGGCCCAAATCATTCATTATGAGCCATCAGACACTAGCTGGAGTAAAGACAAAGCCGTCGCCACAAACACAGAGCTGCAATTTATGGGCACTCTTGTGAAAGAAGAGCAGAGACGGCTCACAGGCATATCTGGGTTGATACGCACATACATAGCCTGAATAATGCAGTTAAAGGTCAGCAATGTACAGAAGTGGGATGGCTACAACCATGAGCATTCCTCAGAGGAAATCTAACATGACAGTCGGAAAAGCTTGTCACCTGTGATTTGCAGAAGGGTTGAAGTGACTAAAATGTAAATGTAAGTGCTCACTGTGAGTCAGGTTGCTCGAAAGAGACAGGGAATGTTTTTACACTGAGAACTTGGAATCAACCATGGGCATCTGTAGGAGCAGATAAGCAAGGTGCAGAGCTGCAGAGGGAGCAATCAGGGGACTCCATCTGGGGCACAGTGGGGGAGAGGGCCCTGAGTGGTTGGAAGAGGGGGTAAGGCCTCTCTGTGGCTTCTTACTGGTGTTGAACATATAGCTATGAGGTTGGAGTGAGTTCTGTGTTCCATCAGATCCACACATTAGGCTACCTCTAAGAGAATATCTAAAGATGGCAACTATGTTTCTCTCAATTTGCTAATGCTTTGGGTCAGTCTGAATGGTCTCCTCTCTTAGGGTTTCATGTCAGTTGACCAGCAGGGTACAGTTTACAGTTTCTTGCTTTCCTCCTCTCTTATAAAAAAGTATTTGGGGAAGGTCAAATTAGATTTGCCTGGTCAGAGTGTAGTCTGACAATGAAATGCACACATGGTAAATGATGCTTTTTCTTCCAGCAAAATGAACCAAACTAATGCATGCAATTCAATTATAATTGATCAGTAATGGATACCAAGTGCTATGGACTCACAAAGGCAGATTCTGTGGGGAGGAAACATTAGGCCATTCCATTAACAGAGTTCAATAACAGACACAATGACTAATTCTAAATTACATTTTCGTAGCCAATGCATCCAAGAAATGTAACATCTAACCAAAAGGTAACAACGTTATTGCATATAATCATTATTACCCCTGGTACAAAACACATTCATGAGAAGTTAAGTCAACATTTGAGTTATATTTCCTGACAATGAAGAATCATCCCTCTGTTTCCCAATCACATTTTGCTGTTTATATTCTATCTTGGTAGCTAACTAACTAATCTGTCCCCCAATTAAGCACTACAGAGTAAACTGTAATTAAACCATGGTGAGAAATATCCTTAGCCATAAATTAACGACAGTCTGTGTCTTGGCCCATAATGATTAATACAGATTAAATCAAAACCAGTTGAATCTGCTAATCACATGCAGAATGTAGGACAATGTAGCACAAACAGTCAGGAGTCTTTTGGTACAAACTGACCTCTATACTGAAGCCCCAAATGACCATATGAAAGTAAACAACTCCCATGGCATGACTAATGTGGATACATTTCAGGACTTCTGGCCTCTCTCAGAACTCAGCAGCTGGTGGCTCCATTTCCCTTATAGTTAGAGTTGTTATTGACGCCTAACAGTCTTTATATGATGCATTTAGCTAGAACACACTCAAAACTGGACACTAGTCATAGCGCCAGTCAAAGAATTAGAGCTTGTAAAATTGAAGCCAAACTGACCACTGCCATGAAAAGAGGACTTGGCTATAGTGACAGGGATTTTTTTTCTCTATAGCTTGGATGAGAATGCCTTTAGTAACAGGACACCCCTGGTTCTACATCATAACAGCACCCAGCTATGGAGGGAGGCAGTGGTGTCAGCGTCCCACGCATGGAGAAAGAACACAGCTCCTGTTTCCCTGACGTTAGCAGGGGCTTGGTCCACAGACATGGGTATTAGCGATGCGCGGGTGAGCTGTTTCTTCATCCGCCCGCAATTGCTAATATTCCCATCCGCAACCGCTGATGAAAATCTGAGGCCCGCACCCGACCCTAACCCACAAATATAGAAAATACGTTGTACAGTCTAAGATGGAAGATTTTTTGACAGGCATTTTTTAGATATGCCTATGTTTCTGCTTATAATTTGCGACATTTTGGTAGGCTGTTTGTCAACTTGTCTATAATTAGATACAGGCAGCTTCTCTTCTGTAATTACTTGTTGCCCTAGAAGACTAAATCAACCCTTGCTCACCAGAATAATGTTATAAATCGATAGATTGAAGCATTCAATCTATACTGAACAAAAATATGTAAGGTGTTGGTCCCATGTTTCATGAGCTGAAATAAAAGATCCCAGAAATGTTCCATCCGCACAAAAAGCTTATTTCCCTCAAATTTAGTGTTAGTGAGAATTTCTCCTTTGCCAAGATAATCCATCCACCTGACAGGTGTGGCATATCAAGAAGCTGATTAAACAGCGTGATCATTACACTGGTACACCTTGTGCTGGGGACAATAAAAGGCCTCTCTAAAATGTGCAGTTTTGTCACACAACACAATGCCACAGATGTTTTGAGGGAGCGTGCAATTGGCATGCTGACTGCAGGGATGTCCACTAGAGTTGTTGCCAGAGCATTTAATGTACATTTTCTCTACCATAAGCCGCTTCCAACACATATTCTCCATTCATGTTCCCGTTTGAAAATGTATATTTGGTGTATCATTTTACTGCAAGAAATGCTTAATTCTGCAGGAGTTAATATTATATTAGGCAATGTGAGAGGTTATAGACCTACAGTCAGTGTCCAGATTTCAGTTAGGCTACTATTTCATTTAACCAATCTGAACAGTACAGTTCCCTTGATGTGCCATTTTGAAGTCCCCGTCTTGTGACTGTCGAATTTGTATAGAGCCTCACAATCATCACACATCACATAGCCAGAACTGCTATCATCCTCTTTTACCACTTCACTACATTTTCCCCAAACATCAACTCTCCATTTCGCAGCTTTTCTAAATTATTATTGAATTAAACTCTGACATTGTCCTTTTTGCCTCAATGGATCGATCTTAACTTTTTCTGCCCAAGTTCCCAAATGCATTTGGCAATTGGCGTGTATTTAGGGGCTACAGTTAGGCCCCAAAGCTTAGGCTACACACTAACGCCAGATAAAAAGAATGAAAGAAAAACCTAAATGTAGTCTATAGATATGAATTGCACAAGAACTATACATTTATGGATTTTTTTATGCATAGTTTCTCTTTATCCAACCCGCCCGCCCTTCATCCATACAACATTTTATGACCCTAAACCCACCCACCCACCCTATCTGTGGGGACTGCAGGTGTATCACTAACGGGTATACAAGTACATATGCACTCTTCTGAGGGCAGGTCTAGCAGCTTGGTGAGGACCAGTATGTGTAAAATGACCCATGTAGAGTATTGAATTTATTACAGTATCTTCCAAAATACTGTAAATCCAATTCATTTATTGGGTGCGTTAGTAAATTCAACCTGGCAATCTACTCTGATTTCAGAGCAAGTTTGAGTGTCAGAGCGAAGAATAATATAGGAATTTACGAACACCCTAAACTCGGTTGTTATGACAGGTGTAAGTAAACATTGGCTAAAACATTTTATTAAATTGTTGACAGTAACCCGGATGAAGTCACTAACCCTCCTGATATCATGAAACACTAACCAACTCTGCTAGGGCAAGTAAAATGTTCAGAGAGAGGTGCTCTCTTTTTGTGTCTGGAAGTAGCTAGCAAGCTAGCCAACTTTAGCCAGTTAGCTTGGGTGCTTGACTGCTGTTCTGAGCTCAGAACGCTCGGATCAACCCTACTCCACGGCCAGAGCGCACTCTGACCCTAGAGTGAATTTACAAACGCACCCATTGTATTCACTGGCTAAAAATCAAGTGGAGGTTTAGTTTATCTGGGATGTAGAACGACAACTCAGGTAATATTGGTATATGGGTGATTTCACAGCAGCTATGCAATTACTGTGTGCCATAGCTTAAATTATATGAAATCCATATTAAATATAGTAATTTATCCTAAAGCTAGGAGAGGCAGCAAATCCACAGTCTACTGAAGGGAGGCGAGTAAATTAGTAAAATAAGACTGAGGGGCCAGGCAGGCAGTGAGGCAGGTCCTGTGATTATTCATACAGTAATGCCTTCCCAGGCAGTGGGACATAATTACAGCCCTCCAGTACTCTGTCATTAAGGTCACATTGCACTTCCCAGGCTAGTTTCTACTACAGCTCAATGCTCCACTGCACTGGTGTACTAAATGTACTGCCAGACTAGCAATTTGTGACATGGACCTTCTCGGTAGGTACAAAACCAAAGAAAAATACAGTATTCTCCATCCCTTTGAGCACTGTCAAGGTGGCTTGTATTTTTACCATGCTTAAAATACAGGTCATAAACTGTACACTTCACCCTCCAGGAGGGCAACTAAAGCACAGGTCACTGATTTATATGACATTCGGTCTTTGGTTTCGTAGACAGATTCTCACTTATACTCACCAAGATATTCCATCAACTGTTCAGCAGTTATGATCTCCATCATTGGTGGCATCTTCACCTGTAATGGAACCACATACATTATTTAACAAACCAAGCAATATGACTAAAGTTAGCCAGGCCAATAGAACCTGGCAGACAGGCATCTCCCTCCCCCATGATTATGGTTCACAGTAAATACACCCACACCTGGGAAGTGGAAAGCTGTGTTTAAAGTCACCAGAAGTGTACTGTCAGCGGTTGCACGACTGTCAGCACACAGACAGGCGTTTGAAGCAAAGAATTCTGTTTACAGTCACTTTCATGGCACCCATTTTCACAGTAGGTAGTGAAGTTTTAGGGAAGGTTTCAGACACCACAGACACAGAGCTGCAGTTTAAGTTGTGAAGCCACATACCGAATCAGAATCTCCACTGCCTGCCAACCAACCAACCGTCACTGACAGTAATTAAACGTTATCTTTATGATGTAAATTAAACCAGAGGCTTAAACAGGACTCAATTGGACGCTGTCAGAGACTACTTATAAGAGAGGGACTGAGCTGCCAAGGCCACAGCACAGGGAAAATATATACAATTGGGTCTATGGTATAATTGGTCAATGTGACTTATGTCAACAAGCTCCATCATAAAATGACTGTAATTGAGTATTAAGAGAAAATAAAGATGAGTGCATATGAGTGGTACAATTTGAACTTTAACTTCAATTCTGCCCAAATGAAGGAAGATTCTTTATGAATCTTTAACTTTTCATGGCATTCTATATTATGTCAGGTGACAATAGCTTATTTTACTACTGATCATTCAATTTTGATTTTAAACTGATAATACAACAGATTTATTTAGTTTAGTTATGATGACCAGCTTTAGAATGACCTCTATTAGTAATATAGTATTGACAAATAATAGATTTGGAAATGTTCCAAATGTAAACTTGTCTCAGAGGTCCGGTCATGAGGTCAGTAATTTACCTTCCATGCCAGCAATAGGACATTCATAATTGCCAGCAATGGGCATGGGCCGTTCTCGTTCTGGGTAATGATAGGTGTGTTTTCCTCCTTCCACTTGATCCACTTGATGTGGTATATGGACTGGCCAGCGCCCCGGTCCTTGGTGCACGGGATCTTAGTTCCATCAGCCCCATACTCGCTCTGTAGTGTTAAGGCCAGCCCCCTGTCCTCCAACCCGTCACTGTTGAGATCGAAACTGGGACAGGAGTTGAGGTTTGAGAAGGACTCAAGTGAGTCGATGCTCCTAGATTCTGCCGCGATGCACGGGTCACTCCCACTCGGCAAACCCTCGCATATGGTATTGTCAATCGCAACTCCACATTTGACGTTTCCCGTATTTGTTTTGTCCGGACATAGGTGTGTCGGTTTTGCCAGCTTCACTGGTTCAACTGACGCACAAACAGAAACCTCAGCTTGATCATCTGTAATCCTTGCCCCCGATTCCCCCATCGAGGAGGGCTCGCCATCCGTTTTGTTGTTTACTAACTTTGAGGTGGCACCCTCGCTATTTCCTGTAGCCAGATGCGAGCCATTTCCCATCCCGTTACTCAAATGATCTCCAGATCCAGAGGACAATGTCTCCGACCAACCACTCGATTGAATGTTCTTCTCTTGCACCGGGAGAAACATTTCTGGCATATTTAATTTCTCAACACTGGAGATAGCATTACTAGCAGTGCTAGGAGCACTACTGGAGCTAGTAGTACAACTACCCAAAGTACTGAGAGAACGCTCACTATTCTTGCACGTATCGGTCACTCCCTTCATTCCGCCAACTGTTTTAATATCGCCCATTTCTCCTGCAATAGTAGCACATAGAGTACTTCCTCCAACATCTCGATGCAGATTTGAATTTTTCTCCATTTCGATTTACACACTGTCGACAGCTTTTAGCTAGCTTAATTGCAGCTCCAGCTTCAGCCCCACAGACGCCATGACATCTCTGCCAGTGACGTCACTGGAGAAGAGCCCACAGAGTTCTGGAAGAAATGCCTCTTCAGGCCAAAGAGAGGCAGTAGAGAATAACAGGAGACTTGAGTGCTTTGTTTTTCATAATTTGTGTGTGCTGTGTAAACTTTTATTCCGTTTGCAACAAATTGCACATGCTTTCTCGTCATGGTTTCCTGTCATTTTTACATTCATATTCATTGTCCCCCACGATGAAATCGGGGAGGGGCTATGGATCTATCTCCAACCTTTCCTTTATATGTTAATTCAAACTTTAGTCACGCGATTTCTCAGAAAGCACTGGGCCGATTTTGACGAAATTTGGTTGAATAACGTCTTGCAATAGAGAACTGGTATTTACAAAATTACACTGATTGGCCAGATGGTGGGTAGGTAACAACACATCTGCCACACTGATCCTCAACACGGGGGCCCCTCAGGGGTGCGTGCTCAGTCCCCTCCTGTACTCTCTGTTCACCCATGACTGCATGGCCAGGCACGACTCCAACACCATCATTAAGTTTGCCGACGACACAACAGTGGTAGGCCTGATCACCGACAACGATGAGACAGCCTATAGGGAGGAGGTCAGAGATCTGGCCGTGTGGTGCCAGGACAACAACCTCTCCCTCAACGTGACCAAGACAAAGGAGATGATTGTGGACTACAGGAAAAAAAAGAGGACTGAGCACGCCCCCATTCTCATCGACGGGGCTGTAGTGGAACAGGTTGAGAGCTTCAAGTTCCTTGGTGTCCACATCACCAACGAACTATCATGGTCCAAACACACCAAGACAGTCGTGAAGAGGGCACGACAAAGCCTATTCCCCCTCAGGAGACTAAAAAGATTTGGCATGGGTCCTCAGATCCTCAAAAAATTATACAGCTGCACCATCGAGAGCATCCTGACTGGTTGCATCACCGCCTGGTATGGCAACTGCTTGGCCTCTGACCGCAAGGCACTACAGAGGGTAGTGCGTACGGCCCAGTACATCACTGGGGCAAAGCTCCCTGCCATCCAGGACCTCTATACCAGGCGGTGTCAGAGGAAGGCCCTCAAAATTGTCAAAGACTCCAGCCACCCTAGTCATAGACTGTTCTCTCTGCTACCGCACGGCAAGCGGTACCGGAGTGCCAAGTCTAGGTCCAAAAGACTTCTCAACAGCTTCTACCCCCAAGCCATAAGACTCCTTAACAGCTAATCATGGCTACCCGGACTATTTGCACTGCCCCCCCACCCCATCCTTTTTACGCTGCTGCTACTCTGTTAAGTATTTATGCATAGTCACTTTAACTCTACCCACATGTACATATTACCTCAACTACCTCAACTAGCCGGTGCCCCCGCACATTGAATATGCAACGGTACCCCCCTGTATATATAGCCTCCCTACTGTCACTTTATTTTACTGTATATATAGCCTCCCTACTGTCACTTTATTTTACTTCTGCTCTTTTTTTCTCAACACTTTTTTGTTGTTGTTTTATTCTTACTTTTTTTGTTTAAAATAAATGCACTGTTGGTTAAGGGCTGTAAGTAAGCATTTCACTGTAATGTCTGCACCTGTTGTATTCAGCGCATGTGACCAATAAAATTTGATTTGATTTGATTTGATTTGGTGGTGCTATAACAAGAGATTGAAAATGCACATTTTGAAAGGTCACGCCCCTTACCCCGTTTGACCTAAAGTCATGAAATTCGGTACATAAGCCCCTCTCCTCACAAGGAACAAATCTGCATCAGGGACCCATAAGGTCTGCCATGATGGATTTTCCGCCATTTAGAACTTTGTGAAAAACACTTGCTACTCTTCTGACACCAAATGACCGATCTGCACGAAACTTGATATGTGGCATCTATGGACAAAGGTCTCTCAATGCAATATTTTCCAGACTAGTACTTAAAACAACATGGTCACTATTGACCAATAAACATTCACATGGGCGTGGTCTGGCACATAAACACATATACATCAGTCAAGGATATTCATATTGTAACACATTTTGGAGCACATGTTGCAAACACTGTCAAGACTCAACATATGCAAGAACATTCATATCGACTACACGGTGGCACTATAATGGGCACATGTTTATCTCTTCATCTGTTTGACTCAGAGTGCTGAAATTTGGCACACATGCTCAGGGATATGAGTCTAGCTATCCCACATGATATCTCAGACACCACTAGCCCGATTTTGACGAAACTTGGGTGAATGATGCGTATTGCCATAGAGATCCAGCATTTACAAAATTCCACTGATTGGCCCAAGGGGGGCGCTATAGTAATCAACTGTACGCACGTTAGTCACACGCGATATCTCAGACATCACTGGCCCGATTTTTACGAAACTTAGGTGAATGATGCGTCTTGCCATGTAGATCCGTCATTTACAATATTACATAGATTGGCCCAAGGGGGGTGCTGCATTATTCGTGGAGGATTACATGTTTATTGTTTCCTTTTTTTACTCTTATTATCTATCCTGATGCCCAGTCACTTTACCCTGCCTACATGTACATATATACCTCAAACACCTCATACCCTGCATATTAATCTGGTACTGCTACTCCCTGTATATAGCTCCATTCTTGTGTATTTTATTGTCCCCCACGATGAAATTACAGAAGGGACTGTGGATCTGTCTCCGTCTGTACATTCATATGTTCGTCACATGCTATATCTCAGACAGCACTGGCCCGATTTTGACAAAACTTGTGTGAATGATGCGTCTTGCCATAGAGATCTGGCATTTACAAAATTACACTGATAGTTCCAATGGGGGGCGGCATCATTCGTGGGGACGACATGTTTACTGTTGCCTTGTAATTATACTATGTGTGTGTGTCAAATCAAATCAAATTGTATTTGTCACATGCGCCGAATACAACAGGTGTAGACCTTACCGTGAAATGCTTACTTACAAGCCCTTAACCAACACTGCAGTTCAAAAAAGACTAACCAAATAAACTAAAGTAAAAAATAATGTGTGTGTGTGTGTGTGTGTGCGTGCGTGCGTGCGTGCGTGCACAGAGAAGGAAGAGGCGCATGGGTCTTCATCACCTTGAATCTGGTAGCAGCAGCAGACTGACAAGTTGTTTTGAGGTTTCCAATACAGTCAGTGTAGTGTATTTTGTTAGCCACACAGTGGCAGAAGCTACACACCTCAGGTCGTAGCTGTATCGAAGTGGTGTGTTTTTAGGGAATCTCAACAAAGACGATCAGTGCAGAGACAAGTGCAGAGAACAAGCAAGTGCAGGGCAGGTGTAGGTAGCCAGGACATGCAGGCACATTCAACAAATTCACTAATTCAACACAAATAGCTGTCTCTGAGCAGTGCAAATGCATGTGGGGCCACACACCTCGATATTGATTGTTCCTTGAATTTTAGAAAATGTTTCCCCCCAATTCATATATACATTGACATTTTACAGTGGAATCTACATTTTACATTTTTACATTTTAGTAGACGCTCTTATCCAGAGCGACTTACAGTTAGTGAATACATATTTTTTTTATACTGGCCCCCCGTGGGAATCAAACCCACAACCCTGGCGTTGCAAACGCCATGCTCTATCAACTGAGCTACATCCCTGCCGGCCATTCCCTCCCCTACCCTGGACCAATTGTGCGCCGCCCATGAGTCTCCCGGTCGCGGCCGGCAGCGACAGAGCCTGGATTCGAACCAGGATCTCTAGTGGCACAGTTAGCACTGCGATGCAGTGCCTTAGACCACTGCGCCACTCAGGAGTGGTGTACTGTATTCAGTACTGAAATCATATTCCATTAAATCAGGGTACAGGGATATTTCTAAAACTCTGTCCAAGACAAATGCATTATTGTCAATACATGATATTGTATTATACAAAGCCATGAGTGGCTCCATTCCATCTTATATAGCGCAATTGAACAGCAAACCTGGTTTCAAAAAACAAATAAACCAACCCCTCACTGCACAACGCCTCTCCCCCATATGACCTACTTGTTGTGTGTATGTACTGACATGTATGTGTAACTGATAGATGCACACACACACAACATGTTAATGTTTTTAAATGTATGTAAATTGTAAAGTATTTTGTCTGTAATGTATTTCTCGTTATATGTTGGACCCCAGTAAGACTAGCTGTCGCCATTGGCGTTGTCTAATGGGGATCCTAATAAATCAAAAATATTAATTCATAGGCTAACTTGATATTGAAGAGTGGCTTGGTTTGTCACTGTTGAATTTATTGCAATTGAATTGTTGTTTTCAACAAATATAAGGGGCCCTATCAAATAAAAGCAAGCAGGTTTTGTTGCGCTAGTGAGGTAGGAGGGACTAGTACTCTGCCTGCGCCTGACGTCAGGCCGTTGGAGACAAGCGGTGAAAGGCGGTTGTAAAGGTACTGCCATAAACAGAGCGCGGACTGCGCCTTTAAGAACTGCAAATCGAAACAGTAAAGCATTCGCGGTGTCAATGTACTAACAATGAATTTAATCGATATGGTCTTGATACAACTCTTGCTGTTGTTTAATTGTATATGGACTATTAAAGGTGAGTTTTGTCATTCTGATTCATACAGCAAGGAAAGTGTTTCATCGCTAGCTTGCTAGCTCGCTAATCGGATTGAGGAAATGGTAGCAAGCGAACTAGGCTAGCAACGTTACCTAGCTGGGAGGGGTGACTGTTCAGCTCTTGTTTTTATTACAGTTATGGTTCAGCTAGGACTATATCGAGAGAGCCTGCTAGAGCCTACGAAAGGTCCACCGAAGTGAAATAAGAATGTAACTGTGGTGGATATTCTTCTTAAAAATAAGACATTCTCAACTATCTAGAATGTAATGTTTACTAAAAGTTACCTAGCATCAATATAGTCCCCATCGCTGCAGTTTCAGTCACGCACTGTTAGTTCTGAGAGGTCTAGTACAGTGGTTCCCAAACTTGAAATGGGGTCCCCTGAGAATCTGTGATCTTATCAAACAAATTAAGAACTTTTTTAAATCTAAAATAA